AAAGCTTATTTCTTACGTACAGTTTTAGTCGCAATAGTGGGAAGAATCATTATAAGCCGTCACTTCTCTTCTTTTGTATTTCAAACTTAGCTACCACTTTGCGAAACAACTTTCGGTTACTTTTGTATTCTGTGCGCTACAATGAAGTCGACTTCCGCGGGATATCTTCTTGCAAGCATAATGATCGGCTTTCAGCCTACTATGGCAAGCTGGTTAGTATTTCTCACACAATCCGCAGAATCTTGTCTGATCCAAACACAGGGTTCTCGAGTTTTTTACTAGCGGGTGTCCTGCCGACGGCGACAACGGCTCTTCTATTGGAGCAACAGCCGGCCAAGCCGGTCAGGAGCTTTGGTGTATTGCCACCGATTCTGCACACAATGTAGTTGCTACAGGCATTACAGCAGACAAGATGGAGGTTACGCTCTTCTCTGACAAAGGCTGTTCCGAGGAAGTCACAAGGTTCGACACCGATGGATGCAAAGTCATTCCACAGAATGTAAGTTGCTAGCCGAAACAAAGTCTTTGGCACGGTTTTCGCAACCATCTTTTCCGCGCAATTGCTGATTGTGCGTCAATAGGCTGTTATAGAGGCTGCGCGGATCTTGCCAAAGAAGTAGTATGGTCGAATTTTTTCAAGGCCGACGGAAATGAGAGGAGGCATGGATAGCAAAGCGGCTTAGAGCAAGGGATACATTCAGTGGGGCTTCATTTTCTTCTTCTGTCAACATGACTTTCTTTGTCTATCCTTCGGTAATTGCCGAACAATATAGCAGATCACCGGTCAAGTTTGCACCAATCAATTTATGTCTTTCAAGAGACAACGGGTTACAATAGAAGTTGTTGGCAATTACCACTTGAATGATTTCTTGAACTGAAACCTTGATAGGAGTACCGCGTTACTGTGCCCCATAGGCGCTGCGGAACTTTGGAAGATGCACTAGTTGTGACGAAATGATTGGCCTCTAGTAGACGCACGTCGTTTGACACAGGCTGTGCTCGGTAGGAAGCGGGAGTCTTTTACGAATGAGCGCCCATTTCTGGCTAAATAGAAGCGTCTTCTTGCATTGCCACAGCAAGATAATTGCTTCATTGATATCGACTCGGTAAACCAACCAACCAACCAACCAACCAAGCGGTGGCTGCGGCCGAAGTCCAAGGCATGAAGAAACGTCATGAGAAACGTCATAATCATCAAGCCCTGGTCCATTTGCAATCAACAACCCATTAGGATTAGCCTATTCGTCTGAAAAGGATTAAGGAGTTCTCAAAAGTAGTACTGAAGGTTCGCATTCATAAAATACCAGATGGAAATGCATGTCCTCCAGGAAATCCTTCTCTTTTGTCACCACTTATCTATCCAGTTTCGGCGAGGCTAGTTACGGCAGGATATTCTAGGGTATATCCTTGAAAGTACTCAAAAGAAATTTCATATCCTTCATTGTTTGAGATGAAAAGAATGCTTGTCGATCGCGCGACAGTGTCGCTTGGCTTCACGGCATGCGCTGTCACCCAAGGCACAGGGTTTGGTACAGACAACTTTGGATATGGGACGTATGGACCATGGTCTGTGCCCGCTTCTGAATTTGACTCCTTTCTGGACCATGGCAATGCGACGTCAAACTATCCACTCGAAGGAAGAAACATCTCTGGACTCTATCCTGGAGTTTCGTCAATTGACGGTTGGTCTTGGAGCATCTCTGTTGCAGCGGACATACCGATCGAGAATTCTAAATCGCCCAACACGTCCTTCTTTACCGGAAGTCGAGTCAACCTCAATGCACCAGCATCTTTGCCAAGGCTCAATTCGTCTCAGGCCATCTCGGTGAATAAATCATGGCAAATGTGCGTTGTCATATGGCACCTTGGGGAGGCGTATAACGACAAGTTGCGCGAGGACGACGGCAGTTGCTCCACGATAGTGAGCTCAGAGTGTGCCAAAGATATTGAGGATGGGGTTATGAAAAATTATACAAGTACAAACTGTCTCTGTCCTAATGTAAAAAGCCTATCATCTTGCAAGAATGAGGAAGTTCTGGTCCGCAACGGATGCGAGGCAAGAAGTAAGTCCGCAGAATGGGCATACTCAATGAAGTGACTGAAAACACTGACCATACGCAGTTTTCGATTCAAGCCATATACAGCAGTGGCCTAAAGGGCAGCTCAACGTGTTCAGGTACGGCGGTGAGCCCCATGCAAAGGGAAATTCGTCAGCGTACAATGAAACTGGCAGCCTAGCATGGCCACTACTTGTCATGTGGGGGCATTCCGATCAAGCTTCAGGTTTGGTGAACGACACGGCAAAATTAAGCTGCGTGCGAGCAAAAGATGCAAATGCTGGGAGCACAGTGCCAGGACCAGGTATCACTAGTAGCGCCTATAAAATTGCAGGGGAAGGAAGTGTGAGCATGCTCATCGTGGCGCCCATATTGGCAGCTATCTGGACAGCTTCATCGTGGTATCTTGCATGAAGAGAATTGGAGATAACACAATCTGATTTCCAGAGGTACTATATACATTTTTAGACTTAGTCCTCGCAATTGATTTGAGAACAGTGGATAGAGATGTATCTGAAATTGGCATTGTTATAGAATGAATCAAGCAAATCAAAACCTCTTTCAACCCCCATACGGTGTGTAAGCGTATTGGTTTCCTAAAGCAGATAAAGCAGGCCCACCATTCTCTAGCAGACTCTTGTCCGGATCTGCAGTACCAAAGTATGCATATCGATATATACATGGGTTATTGTCTAAAAATTTGATCGCCTCGCTTAGAAACGCGCTTTCCTGGTCTGGAGTACCGTCTCCCCGAAACTAGACTGCATCAGTATCCGCCACTGTGAGCCAGTTGCAAACATACCTCGGTGATCCAGACTTGCCGTCCATTTGCAAGAGAGCATATGGCGTTCACCCAATTCTGAAAGTCACTTTGCAGGTTCCAAGGGTTGTACCAGTGAGCGGCAATGAAATCGATATGACAGTCACTGCACCTTCCTAGGAAATCCTGAAGCCATGCATACCCGCCATTCGAGATAGCTGGGCTGCCGAGTTGAGCTCGGCCAATATAAGGATGCATGTAAGTTCTATATGCATCTGCTGCCTCTTGTGGAGTCATTGCAGCTTGATCTGGGCGATCAGGCTCATTGAAAGAAAGCAAATGGCCGGTACCGCCTTGGCTAAGCCACCAGTCGGCATCACTAAACCAGTCTATCACCTTTGTGTCAGCAATCTCTGTAGCGAGATAGCAACAACATATTCTAGAGAGACTTGTAGATGGATAGTCCATATGTAAATTGGATGTCTATTCATTTGAAATCTCTAGGCGGCTACTTAGAATTGAAATATGCTTACGATTCGTGTGGTACGAGGCTGTCCCCCAAAGCATTGGAACATATTCAGCCCAAGATTGTTTATAGGACGTCCCTGAATTCCAATTATATTGCCAATTGACCTGTGAGCCAGATCCTCCGAAATTCTAGGACGGTCAGTCTATCATGCAGCGGGTATCCTCAGTATCAGTCTCTGATCAACTAACCTGTATGGGAATTCCGTCATTCCAGGCAAGACCACGCTTCGGCCATACGGCCCTAGATGGAGCAACAAGCAACAGGGTTGCTAAAAGCGCTCTGTTAATAGAGGACTGGCAGTAGTGCATGATTCACTTTTAGTAGTACAAGATCTATCCGAATGCTGTGTTCTGTGATAAAGCTTCTCGGTAAAGTAAGTTGTTATGCAAAGGCAATCGGAAAAAATACTTGCTTTTATATAATCCAAACAGTAAGGTCGATCATGTTCTCAAGTCTAATAATCTAACGAGTTGTGAAAAGCCATCGTCACAAACAAGCAACCACAACGGCGCCTATGCGAACTAAGGACTTGCTCAACACCACTACAACGTTGCCAGCGACAAGCACAACGGCGATGCCGGGTTTATTTGAACAAGTCAAACTACATAAAGACTCATTATTGAAGACGTTCTGGTGTTGTACAAGAAGGATTGTTATTTGAAAATAATTGAGTGAATGAGCAGATTATCACCAGACAATATCCTTGGGAATCAACTGATGCGAGCAACCGAGCTAAGCCGTGACTGTACACATTGTTTCTATGCTAATACCGCCGTGAAGGATCACTTGAATGGACTGGGTGTTGAGATACAAATGAAAATAAGGAGACATTGCTCAATGTCTGGAGACAACCTGAGCTTAGAGTCGAGCGGCCCTCCAGTATGCTTTGAACAGCGATACCGCCCATGACCCAATGATGACCTAGGCAGCAACGTTTCCGCCGCGGAACGCCTTCGGGAATATGTAAGCGCGATGCGATCAGGGTCTCGCAGAATTTCGGATTGTTCCTGACCAAGCTTACAACCCTACTGTTCCTGCATCCTTCGCTACCACATTGGATCACCACCTTCCCCTTATTGACATTTAACCCCTGACCACGTGGGGGAATGTCACGCATATTGGGTAACCCGCAGGAACAATATTGAAAAGTCCGCATTAGCCGTCTCCTGATCTAAGATAGCCAGATTAAGTTGAGCATGGCCACTTCTAGCTCTTTCAAGCGACACTCATCGATTGATTCGGCGGCTTAATCGCTTATAGACGTCGCGTACCTTGCTCAAATCGTAACCCCTGACCTTTAATGGGCCGAATAAAATGGAGTCTACTACGTGGTATAGAAGCTAAACAGCTTTAACGGGTGTCTCGTAGTTACATGCTAAAATAGAATGGATTTTGGTCTCCGAAGTTGAAGGCTCGGTCTCGCCGAATATCACGATACTCGGCGAATTATTATAGTTCAACTGAAATTTGTAGTTCTAGCTACAGTCAAGACAGTAGCTTTAGTTTTGAATAAGACGATGGCAGCTTTCGAATATAAAATTGTTGGGCTTGCTGTTTCTCCTTGAGCTTAACATGGTAGCAAATAATATTGAAGTAAAGAAACATATATCTGAATCTTAACATTGACCCTGGAAGCAAATTCATCATTCTTGCAATGAAATCATCACTTGCTTTGTTTTCTGGGCTTCTAGCTCTTGTCGGGGCTGTTCCCGCGGGCAAACTTCCAGCACGATCTCTGCCACCGCCAGACATTGACGCTATCAAGTCCGTTAGCCCCAAGACATTCAAGAGCTATCCATTCAACTACACGGAACGTGGTGATGAGTCTGACTCCAAGCTTTCGAAGCGCTGGGATTGCAACACTAGAGATCAGACCATATTCACCTGGGGTGACACGGATAATGGTGGCAAGGGCATTACCATAACGAATGCCGACAGTGACTGGCGTGGGTTTTACTTCTATCATAATAACTGCGATTATGTACCATACAAATATGTTTGGATCAACGCAGGCGAGACCCAATTTGTCTCTGTGCCTGATGGCTTTGAGGGCCGTGTTGTGCGCGGAACTGACGAGTGGAATTTGGGAGGAGTTCCTCGCCCCCTTGCCTCATGGTTCGAGTTCAGTTTTGACCAGAACGGCTGGATCTGGGGAGACGTCTCTCTCATTCGAGGATGTGATGGGAGCGTACTAATGTGGTCTCTGGATGGTTCCGGTGCGTGGAAAGGATTCACACAGTGGATCCTAGACGGCGCCCCCAGTGGTGCTTACGATCAGAAGCCGTCTGGAAATTGGGTGTTGAAGGCAACCGAGAATTGGGACGGCTCAATCAATACAATTCCAAGAGACTGGGAACTTCAACAGGTTGGTGCTGACTACGTCTACGTCGACGATTACCATGGCAACCCGGTCATTACCTCGACCAACGGGAGGTTTGGCACGTACTGGCCTGGTGGCAGGCTCTGAGCCTCCAGTTTAGTCACTTTTCTTGAGCTTGGTGGAGAAGTAACAAGTTGATTAATCTTCTAGCCTCTCTCATTCTAGAAGTTACATATTAGATTGTCAAGTGTACATTCTTAAGATTCTCTGTAAATAGTTAAAAATTGCACAAGTTGTACTTAACCGAACTCTGCTTGAGAAAATTTCGGTAATACATGTACATGTCTCAGCTTAGCAGCATCAGCCAGGCATCTGTAACCGTTCAACGAAGTGGCCTCCCTAGACATTCAGCCACTCATGCCCGTGGTCGCCGTGTGTCGTAGCCTAAACAATAATTTATCAGCGAGTTGCGCAAGTCATGAGTTCCCATTCATTGATATATCCCCTTGAACAAGGGGTTACACGACTGAAACTTCTGGAGCTCAGGAAACATATATGTTTGCTGTAGTAAGCTGTGTGTAGGAGTTTAATGAATTTTGGTCGGGTCATCAATGGCACAATGAGGGAAGATTTAAAGTTTAACCGGTATCATGTTTTCAAATCTAAACGCCGAGTGGAACTGTGCAGACGGCAATTATTGCCACAGTATGCTCATAATGCCGTAATGACTAACTTTTACCTCTTCTTGAACCCTGTTTTGCCTGGCTGTCTCGGTTGACTGCCATATGCCCTTCTGCCTTGTGTTTTACGATCTCTGCTCATGCCCGCACCAAGCGATATGTCGATTCTCGGTGGAGTTGCAAAACCGAAGCCCTTCGCAACCTTCGCTAGGTCGAGTTTGTGGACATCAAAGACTGACCGCAAGCTATGGCTAGCATAGGCGTGAAGATAACTCCTGTAGCCCTCTTTTGCACTCTGGTTTAGGTAGTAGTTCTGGCCAATAAGCTTTTCGAGTTGTGACTGGATGTTCTGGATCTTGCTGGCCGGAAAGTCGAACTCAACTACGGGAACGCGTGCGGCTTTCAAATGTGCGAGGAAGCCAACTTCACTCGGTTGTAGGAACATCAGCGACCTTCCCTTCGTATTGCTACCTCGAGCTGTTCGTCCAACACGGTGAATATAGTCTCTCGGGTCATCAGGAGGATCAAATTGGACAATCCAGTCAACTGCAGGGATCTGCGGATAATGATTAGTGCAAAATTGCCATAACGTGAGCGTTGTACTTACATCTAGACCACGAGCCGCAACATCGGTGCAGATCAGGATGCCAGACTTGGCATTACAGAACTCGAAGAAAGTGTTGGTCCGCTTTTGTTGCTTCTGCTTGCCATGGAGATCCAGCACCTGGAGGTCAATGTAGTTCAGTAGCTCAGCGTAGTATTTCACTGTTGAGTATTAGCATTCTTTGCGGAGAGAAAACTCGATTGATAGAACAAACCTGAGTTGCAGCTGCTGAAGAAGACGATGACCTTCTTCTTTTGCATTTTTTTCAAGAATGAGAAGAGAAGAAGAAATCTCCTGTCGGCGTCACATATGACGAAGCCCTGCTCCAGACCCTCTACCGTGCTGAATTGCTTCTCTTCATCGACATTGACATATAGCGGTCCAGGCCTTAGAGAGATGCGCGCCAGATCCTCGACCTTTTGGGTTTGTGTAGCAGAAAACAGCATTGACTGTCTCTCCTCCTTGGGCAAGATTTTGATGATTTGTCTCATTTCATCTTCGAAACCAATCTCGAGAATGCGGTCGGCTTCGTCAATGACCAGTGACCTAAGGTTCTTGAAGACAAAAGGGGTAGTCTGAAGATGATCCAACAGGCGCCCAGGAGTCGCGATGAGAAGGTTGACACCCTTGGACAACTTATCGGCCTCGGCTCTTTTATTCGCACCACCGATGACGATGCCGTAAGTCTGAGAATGGTATTTCATAAGCTCCCTCGCAACACCAAATATCTGAAGTGCCAGTTCTCGCGTGGGAGATAGAACAATAACACCGGTACCATTTCGTGGTTTGAATCGAAGAGCGCTCAACATCTCCACAGCTGGTATGAGGAACGCTAAGGTCTTGCCGGATCCAGTCTTTGCTGCTCCGAGCACATCCTTGCCTGCGAGCAATGGAGGTATGCCTCTCCTCTGGATCTCCGTCATCTTTGTGAAACCCATGTCGTCGATGGCCTTCATTGTCTTCTCGGAGAGGTTCAAGTCGGCGAAGCCTTGGGCTGTAGTGCCTGCGGCTGGGGGTAGAGAAAGATTGTTTTGTGTAGGTACTGCATCATCGGTGTGACTGTTCAGGTCTGCGTTCTCAATATTCTCTTCGTCGTCTGCCTCGGCTTCTTCATCATCAGGAGAGGATTCAGATAGACCGTCCTCATTCTCGTCCTCTTCGTCGCTCGCCTCGGCTTCAGACTCGGATTCGTCGCTAGTATCATCGTCGACTGGCAACGGAGGGCGCACCGGTTCGCTCTTCTTCAACTTTTTCGAAGAAACCGCGACACCTTCAGAAGAGCGTTTGGTAGAAGGCTTGACGCCGTTGGCGTCTTTGAACTTTCGCTTCTTGCTATGGCCGGGATCCATGGCGGCGATCTGCTTGTTGAACAAAACTTTGGTGGTGGTGCCAAACTGCCTACATTAACTTTTTTTCCCTTATCAGCAGGCGACTAGAAAAGTTAAAGTGGGTCGACAGCCCGGATAACGGATGAATCATGACCCATCGCCGATTAGTGCGGGGCACTCAGACAGTGTTCTGGCAGGGCACCTCTACTAGTGTTAATTGGCAACAACGTGCCAATCAGGAGGTGGTTTTCAATTCCATCAAAAAAGTTTAGGAAATCATTCTACTTTTTCTCTTAGGTTGTGCTTACATGGACCTCGCGCTCTATTACCTTTAATTTTCAATCTCCTTATTGTTAGTCATCTTCAAGTGGAGAATAGACGCGAGGGTAGTCATACATCGTCGCGTTTCATGGCTCTTTTGAGAGCTAGCTCTCCTGACTTAAGTTCTTCCCTAAACAATGTTCTCAAGCGGACCGTTAGGCAAAAGTCTGGAGACAATCCAGAGTACCTGAACAAAATTTTCAGCCGATGATCGGTTGACTTGGGATCCAGGAGAAATCACAGGGGTTAAATGGCGGATAAAGGTAGGTTCCACTCCTTGGGATCTACGGCTTATTGCAGGACCTTCATCGTCCTATCTGAAGGAGCCGAGTGCTATACAATCGCAACTAGATGCGGGCTTTCATTTAAGCTCAGTATCGGTATTTTAAAAATAGCCACGCACGTCGACTTCCAATTCAGCTTAATAACAACTGACCCACGGAGGAAAGGCTCATAGGACTGGGCATCTCAAGGCAAATAGTAGGTGCTGTAAAACCAGACGAGCCTGTTGTCGATCTCCTGGATGATGGATTTCGCCAGCGGGTTTTCGCACAGGACATAATGTCCGCGACAGAAGGTCGCCACAGCAGCATTTGAAGCTCTGACCTCTCTTCCCCTCTTGGAGTCATGACGATTGCGGGCATGAGATCGTCTAGCATGCCGTATCCATATTGTTATGACATACAGTCTTATTGGACTCGATTGTTGTATGGTAGGCAACCCAACTATGAACACGAGCCTGCAAGTGCGATCGTGCGTGCATTAGCGACCTTCTAGAAAGCTTCACATCTTAAGGTGTAGGGGCGAGAGCCGTTGACAAATGCGAGAAAATCGTGTGTCGGGATGTTTATTCAACCGAGATTGTGGCAGTGGAGGGGGCAAGACACGGCTCAAGCCGATTTAGGTTGTATTGCAGCATCACGAGTACTCATTGATTGGAGCCAGCCATTTTGACAACACGGGAAGAGCAGCTGCATGTGTCAATGTGGGGTAATGATGGTCGAGATGAACATCAAATATTGCTACTTCAACTTCCCCGGAGCTCCTTAAACAAGGAAATCTCCAGGTTAGTCTGACCTGCCTAGAAGGACATGGATGGCGGCTGATGGCCCCTGGTTTAATATGTGCGCGCAACCTTACAGCTTGCTGGGTCTGATGGGGAACAAGGAAGACGACCAGGACAGTGGACATTATCCAGGAAATATAAAAGCTCAGCTTTCCTGTAGCGCAATGCTTTCCAAAGCCTCGGTCCTATAGCTTCGTCCTCGCCAAAGGATCATATTCCCATCTCTTATCTCATAATGAAGGTCATATATCTCATTACTCTCTTCATTTCCTTCGTCGCGGCTGTCGATTTCGCTGAACTCAATGAGCGCCAGCGTAAGGGTCGCCCACACAAGAAGACATCACGGCCCAAGAAGTATTCGGGCGTGTCGACAATGCGTGCTCCTCACAAGCCAGCTAGTGCGCCATCCGCTTACCGCGTTGACCTTGGCAAGCCCAGCCGGTCGAGGTCTAAAGCGTCGTTGAAGAAGTTACCCGCCGAGTACATCGACCCGGATAACATGCGTCGTAGTATTGAAGCCATGCGTGCTGTGCAGCGGCTCAAGAGACAAAGCTCAGCTAACGATTTTTTTGAGTGCCAGTCCTCCGTACGACTCCATATAGCTAGCATGAGGGTCAAGGCAGATCTAACAAAACAACAGAATCCGGCACCCTCAGATAGTGATTGCAATGTCGTCATCGACCAAGTTTTCGCGAGTAACGACGATTTAATCGTAACGGCTAACTCATGCTTAGTGTTCTCGTATCAGACATGCGAGGGCTTCTTCTGCAGCTTGTGCGAGACACTACAAACGAACACCGACTTCATTGGTAACCAGCTAAGCACCGCTGAGGCATTATGTGTCTCCAACGGTGACGCAGGCACAGTTGTCGGCGAAGGTGAGTGACCTTGTGGATCCGAATGTTCCATTTTTACGAATTCCAAACTTCCAATGCTAACCTGCTATGATAGATCCACCACAGTGGGATGCCGGCTTTGTTTATACTGGCAATGGGCTCCCGACATATGATGTTTGCTAGGCCGCCGTCCACATGCAAGCCAATTAGGCGGTTTCATTAGAGCGAATTTGATGGGGTCGAACCGAGTGTCTGCTGGTACATAGAATGGCCTCATGTCTGTGATAGCGGAGCTATGTATTCAACAATCTATATTCCGGTTGCGATGATGAACCTACTACGTGGTTGTTGTAGCCTTAGATACGAAAAGAGTGACCGTCAGAAACACTTAGGAACTCGTCAATCACGCAATTGCCTTTCAAACCTAGCTAAGATAGCCAACAGATCGACTGCCTTATTTTTTCCACCTTTCTTGATAGCAGTGCTAGACTCAATTCTCGGTTTGCCTCATATCTAGATTACCCCTTATTTCATGTTGATGATCACTAATTTGACCGCGGTTTTAAGTTTAGACCTGTTGATGATGTTCTCACCTCGCTAATGTCTTCGCAGTTTCTTTTGATTCTGACAAGTCACCTCACACTAAACCCTTTTTCGTCTTAACACAGGCTTTGCTTTTGCTTTCTGAGTCCTTTGGCAATAGGCCTACTACATAGCCCCAGCGCTGCCAACTTCAACTGCATACTGCAAACACGTACTTTCTATCCGTGCACTTCACGTGATCGAATATTGTTGCATTCGTTGTGTATACAGGCTGTAGCTTGTGTAGTTACGCCCCTTTCAGCCTAACCAATGATACTGAAGCACCGCCAGAGTCGAGTCGACCAAGGATGCCTAACGCCATTTTGTATAGCCTTGTGCTGCCCAAAGCTATCTTTATCCATCGCCGCGATAATCTTCACAAAGGTAAGTGATGCATGAGAGACATCTTGATTTCAAGGAGATAGAGAACATCATTCAAGTCGCCTCGCTTCGTCGTTGAGGTGATGTCCATTGAATGCATCTCAACCCACTCTTTCAGATCAGCATCGCAAAAGCTCTTAGCCAAAGAGGCGATCTTTTCCCAGCAACTTCAACATGGTGCAAGTACTGCCGCAACCTTTCCTGGGGTTGGCCCCTGCCACATAGACCCTACGATCGAATTCTTTATGTGAGAGACAAAGTTCTCTTGATACCACGAGACTCCCATGAGATTGAGCTTTCAGGAGCCAGCGGTTGCGTATTTTGTTGCTTGCTCTATGAGATGATGCTGTATCATGTCGGATCCGCGGAAGAAATCATCCTTCAATTCGGAATGGGAAATTCGCGGACGTGCTATTCTGCTCTAGCACAGGACTTACAACCTTTGTCCAGTTTTATTCTCCTATAGGTGAGTCCCTTCTGACCACATACCTTGCTCCCAGGTCTGACCTATATGCAGAAGTACCACCAGCATGGGACGGCATTCTTGTGAGCCAAGACGTAAGCGATACGCCTATGTTGCCCAATGCTTGGGCCTTCGTAAAAAGCTCTCTTTCGAGGTGCCAAATGTCGCACAAACGTTGTAACCAAGTCTTCTCGAATCTGCCGACTCGTCTTCTTAGTATTGGAGTTATAGGAACCAGTCGCATATTCCCACACGAGCCACTACAAAGCGCTGTTGGAACATACGCTGCCCTGAGCTACTGCTGGGGCAAAAGTGGAAACATCCGAACGACAAAAAGCAATTTCAAGACCATGAAAATTGGCTTCACTCTGAAAAATCTGCCGCGAACTATGCAAGACGCGATATACATTGCCTGGCGTCTGGGCATTCGTTACATATGGATTGATTCGCTCTGCATTATTCAAGATTCTGCATTGGATTGGGAGCTTAAGTCTTTCCGTATGGCATCCATCTATCAAAATGCTTTCATAACCATTGCAGCTGTAGCTTCTCCTTCTGCAACTATAGGTATACTTGGTTTGACTCATGGTAAGACAGGGAGATGTCCTCTGGCCCTGGACTGGAGCACAGACGATGGATGTCAAACCCTTGTCAAAGCAAGAGAGCTTGACCCGGCCCAGCACAATTCTGTCGTCTCTAATTCACCTCTGCGAACTCGAGGCTGGGCTCTGCAGAAAGAAATCCTCTCAACCCGTCTAATATCGTTTTGCTCAGGTGAATTGGAGTGGAAGTGTATAGAAACACAAACATGCAAATGCCACTACGCGGAAGTTGCGCTAGCTGACTCTCATTCCTCTCTTCAATGCCTTCGAGCACCGCGAAATGCTTTTGAAGCTTGGCGAAGTATAGTGCAGACTTATAGTAGAAGAAGCTTGACCAATCTCCATGATAGGCTACCAGGCAGCTGGAAAGAATTGTTTCGGAGCTGTCAAGAGGGCATGGATTCAGCTTGAAGGTTATCTGACTCTTAGCAGTCTCCGTACCAATGGCCATTTACCACAGATAGGGCACGGAAGCCCCCCGTTATATGTTATTGATTTCTTAGGCGAAGAAAGGGCATTCCATCCAGACTTGTTTCTGGAAGAGTTCTCACTACAATGGTGTCCAAATAGAAATGTCATAAAGACTGTACGTCGAGCACAACCATGGCAGAGTCTAGCAGATTTTAAAACTATAGACGCACCAGCCTCGCTTTTCTGCTCAGCCACCATCTTGGGCCAAATAGATATGGTCTTGCTTTTTATCGGTTGTTTCTTGTTTTGGGAATGTCATCTAAAGGACCGGACTGCTATGAGAGGCTTGGAATTATAGAGCTTTGGCATCATTCCACCGTCGACTGGCGAGATACTCCCGGCACCACTTGGTCTACAATCACACTCGTTTAGATAGGAGGGTAAGTAGACTGATTGACCTTACTAGCTGCTTTAAAGAATAATTATGATCTCTGCGATAGGGCATTCTGATGTTATAAACAGTCAGACTTCTTTTAAAGACATACTGACCAGATGCCGGGCTCGGAGCACTTGGTTTCTAGTATGTCATAATTAGCACTACATCGCTGATTCATTTTCATTGGGATTTCGCAGCTACGAGTGGGTAGTCAGGCTATTCAGCTACGTGGGGTCTGGAGTGAGTAATAACGGGAAGAACTACTTCACAATTTATATATCTCATATATATTTGCACAGGTCCAACATGGACTGATAGTTGGAATAAAGTTGGTTGTCGAACCTCTTCATGATAGAGCAAACATAGCCAGTCCTTATTCATTCATAATCTAGTTCCATCTCTCCAACCAGAGAGAACCTCGATGCCACGAGGTGATAAAGCCATGCTGCCTATTGCCAGGTCTATAGTTCGGGGGTTCCTTCCTTCCTTTCCATTGCCTTCATCATCCACCCCCTTTTCCATTTTGGGTAGTCGTGTCATAATCGGAGTGCCAACAAGCCAGACAGAAAGCTACATCAGTAGTGAATTCAAAGACCGTGATGCACACGCGTCAAACCGGAACGCCGTCTCTCGTCCTTCCCCTTTCCACTTGCCAGTGATTGGGGCTAGTGCAATGCAATGACCAAGTTCGTGCTTCTTCCTCTAGCGAATGCGTAAAACGAAAGCAAGAATGCCGTTGGAGAGTCAGATTAGCGAAGAGCTTCCGGCACGGGGTCTTCATGCTTCGCAGTGCTGCCTTTGCCTCTCCAGGTGCTTACAGCGGCGATTTTGGCGTCCCATCGCTGCTCATCAGTACCGTAGGCGCGCGGGGTCAGCTTGATCAGTGTGTGCAGCGGCACGTGCATCCATGGCGACTTCTCCTGATCCTTTTTCATGAAGTAAGCGTAGATGCAGCGTAGCACGGCCTGGTGTGTCACGATGAGGATGTCCTCACTGCGTTCCAATTCCATAATGATGGGCTCGAGGCGGATGACTACATCGCGATACGACTCACCGCCGCGATAGCGGTAGTTGTACTTATCCTCGTCGCGCGCCTGGAAATCCTCGGGGTAATAGTCCTTGATCTCTTGGTAGGTCATGCCATCGCAGACGCCAGAGTCCAGCTCGTCAAGCGCCTTCCACTGCAATTGATTGTAGTGCGCAGGTAAGAAGCGCGCAGTGGCAATTGTGCGCTTTAGTGTTGATGTCCACACCGTGAGCGGTCGATCATCCTGGGGCTATTAGTGAGGGGCACGAATCATTTGATGGAAGTTACTCACGCCCACAGACTCACGCACCAGGTGCGGGAGTTTGCGCGCATACTGTTCACCGCGCTCAGAGAGAAGTGTGTCGCCGCCGATTCGGCCATCCAGATTGTATAGTGACTCGCCATGCTGTCGTGACCTGTTAGTAATGCCAAGAACCCCTCTCGAAAGTCACTTTGCAGACACTCACTCTTGAAAGCCACACAGATCTCGGGCGAATGTGCAAATTCATCAGATAGTAGACGACACGGCTCTGTAGGTAGTCCCTGATTCGATTGATGATGACTTGCTTGCCGACATCGAGGATCTTGAGGTATGTCAGATCATCCTCGTCACCATCTTCGTTGATGCTCTTGTAGATCTTCTCGTAGTTGCGAATGCGATTTCGGAAATCCAGAGCCGCCTTGTCAGGATCCTGGCCCACATAATCTGGAGACGTAGTCTTGACATCCCGGATGTTGGCCATGATTAGCTCCTCATCGTCGCACTTTGACTCGACAAAGATGACTTCGACACCCTCCGCCTGGCACATCTCCAATACCCATTTCCTGCGGTCCTTGGTAGAGTTGGTCGCATCTAGAATACCCACCGTTCCGTTTTTCTCGCGGAACCACTTCAACATGTCTGCAACAGCAGCCTGCGCCGCTGCGAGACGTTGCCTCTCACCCTCTGCGTTCGATGTGTCGAAGAAATCGGCTGTTGGCTGTCTAGCGGCCTTACGCCGATAATTGCCGACGTTAAAGGTCTCAGCGGGTACAGACAGCCATTGCAGATAGCGCTGGGCTGTGAAATTCGAGAAAAATCCAGTTAGAAAACCAAGGGAAAGCTCTAAGGGTAAATAAATTGAAGGGAGAACGAGAGGGACGCCTTATGGCTGCTTACCCTTCTGCGCGATGTAGCTCTTGCCTCTGGCGGGCAAGCCGACCATGACGACACATATTTTGGTATCCTCGACCTGTACGCCAACCCCGTTAGTTCTTCGAGGCATTGTCGCCAGATTATCGTAGTCGCAGAGCTGTAAACTCGTTGAAATGAACCATAGGGACCGAAGAAAGGATGAAGAGAAAGAGTCGAGAGGGAAGAAGGATCAAGTTGAGGAACAGAAGGTGAAGTCGTTGATCGCGTGAGGCTGTTCTAGGTAGCTTTACTGCTAGTGTGGGGTGGTGTCGGTGTCCTTTGCAGCGCCTGCGGGGTGGAGTGACGAGGCCGAAAAATGACAAGCCTCAGAAAAGTTCAGACGAAGTCATATGACAGTCACTTGAGGTGGAAGACGTCTGAAAATGTTCTCTCGCGCGTTATGAGTAGTATGACGCTTCAGAACACAGTCAGAGGCGGACAAGGAGACGGTGAAGGGAATTGAGTGTTTGCGACTGGGTGTTTTCTGGGAAATGGGCAAGGGAAGGGAAGGGGAAAGGGCAAGTAAGTGGATGCAGGTTTAGAATACGGTCATGCATGATGTTCCGTCACGGTCGGGAATCTCAGGGCACGAATCTTCAACCGACTGGCGACCGGCCCAGTCAGGCAAAATTGGCTCGACGCTACCAGGGCGAGCTTCACCCACACCCACACCACCGATACACCAATCCGCTCGCCCCCATCATCCATCAAACAACAGCTTCCAAGCCAGCAACCCCTCAGCCCGGCCGGCTCACCCCGCATTGCATGTGCTCTAGTCTTGTTCTCGATGCTCTGGCTGGGCAAGAAGAACCCCCAACTTGAGGGCCAGTCTTCCGCCTCACCGAGGTTTGAGACAGATACCGAGCTATCGCCCGCTACGCGGAGGGGTCAAATGCCTTGACGGTTGATCACAGATCGTCCCGAGCTCCACTTCCCTTTCTCACTTTCTCACGATCAAGAATATTGACTAACATTCAGACTCATGACACGACAGACCAGAAGCCAGCATGTCTCTACTGTAACAGATACAGTTCATAGACACAGCCAGCATTCTCAGCTCTTCCACCCCCACGTTTGTTTGTTTGGTGGTTGGGTAATTCTCACAGACAAACGGGGATCTAGCTATGGCTAGTTCATTCTTGTTCCTTCTCAGGTGATCGTTCTCAGGCACTTGACTGACCTGCAGCAACAAGCTCAGGCACGAACGGTCTGCGTGGAACTGCGGAGACCAGAAATATGCCGGTAGAGTTATTGTGCCAAAACACATCCATAGACCGGCACCCCTTTGTCCACGTTTCCCAGCTAGCACGACAAGGAGACTTCTCCGTATGGATAACTGTTTTTGCGAGCAGGCCATTTCATATCCGCTGATTCTGGCCAATGCCGATTCTCCCCGCTGACCTCGGGAGCGTTAGAAAAAAAACCCACCCGCGTTTAATGGGCTTGTCGGCCGGAAATAGGTCTCCTCAACAATCGTGGACAGGAAGGCAATTCCTGAAAATTACCCTTCCGCGCTCTTGGGGGCACCCGAAGTGGGTAGTGTCGGCCAACTAGCTTCCTCGCCGGCAAAGCTACCGCGATGATTCAGGGACAGGGTCCGCACACTGCCAGCAGAGCAGGACACTTGTCCGTGTCCGGGCAGTCTCTGCGTGTCCTGTCGTGCTCACCGCCAGGTGGATCGGGTGTCATGAGACTAATCAATACGGCGCCGCTCCAATACGACACAGCACCCCTCATGAGCAATCGTAGCCAGAAAGCAAAAACCGGCATTTCGGGGCTCAGCCCGGACACGGGACACTGGCCCTGAGCCGTTGCCTGCTGTGTACGGCCCGAGAAGCACATCGAACAACAATCAGAAGGAAAGGTAAGCTTCCATACCTTACTAAAGGACCATGTATTAGCTCTCGCTCTCCCAGTTGGAGTAGGCGGCCCTGGCGCGATCCCTCTCATCTTTGAAGGGGATGAGGACAGCGGTGCGGGGTTGATTTCACAACAAGCAAGTGCTTGTGAGTGAAATAGGTGCAATAGAACGAAGAAACAAAATTGCTCGACGACAAGCCAAGCCAAGGAGGACGCGACTGTACAGCACAAGGATTGTGCGTGAAAGTTGTTTTTTTTGACGATGTGAAGATATTTTGCGTGATATTTCGTTTGCCTTCTTGCTGCTCAAGGCAATTGCCCCTCCATGTGCTGCAGTTGGAGGGGCAAGAACGTTATCGATAAGGAAAACTTGGTATCATTGACAATGACGTCTCTGCCCTCCCAGGCGGTTACATAGGTAGGTGTTTACTCTTACAAATTCTATACACAATGCAGAGTGAAAGTAATATGGTCTGGTCAAAAATGAGAAATTGGCATCGAGTTTAGATTAGACATTATAGAAGTGTGAACTTGGAGTATAGGGCGTTGCTGTCATGAGTCGAGTTGTGACTTGTAAAATCTTCAAAACCGAACTCACTCATAATCTCTCTGTACTCAGGGTCGCAGCTGCCGAAAGTAAGTCCTATTGTCGCTTGTGCATTCCCAGCAGGCATGTAGCTCATCTTCACCTTGTCATTTTGGCTTCTTGGAACTTTCTATTTGAACAGCTTCATCCAGCACCAGAGTTTCACTCTGCCAAAAAGCAACCAAACACCTTCAGAGAATTACTATCCTTTGATACAAACAAGCCATTCTTTGGCGTATTAATTTTCTTCCGAGGTGCCGCCAGCCCCAGCCGGTGGCGAGCGTACCAGTCGCATGTGCAGAACTGGATGATCAAGAATAGGAGGCGATAGTAACTGCATATCTTGGCCTGGAAAGCGATGCCATCTCGTCCCGAAAAAGTTTTCCATCGATACTACATTCCAAATCAGACGTCTTTGGGTCTCAAGCACGGAAAAGGGGCTGCATAGCAAATATCGAGATGCATTGGCTGATACGCCTATTTCCGCTGTGCCAGCCAGCGAGAACCTATGCAGTTGCGCCCAACTACCTGGGTCAGCCTGTAGCGGAAGCTGGCTTAAATCGGACGCAGTTCGCTGCAGCCATGCATATGGTTTTTCTGATTCGCGGCATGGTGGAACTTGGTGACGGAGGGCCCTGCAGCCGCGTGACAAGGGGATTAGGAGGGAGCTGAAGCAAGCTTGCAAGGTGAACCGCTCTGCCGGGTCGGCCCTCATCCTTTTCTGTCCTCTCCGTGGTCTCTCCGTCTATGGTCGCCGTACAAGTTGATCCTCGCCGACGAACAGAGCCGGATGTGCCGGCCTTCTGCTATAATCACATATTATAACGTGGATCGATCTAATAGCGTACCGCTTCTATACCCGCCCGGAATTTCCATCTGACTGCATTTACGATGCGTTGGCGAAATGAGAGTCGATCAACACAGAAGGAAGCATTCTGGGCCAGATGCTACCACCACCTGCACGCTATCGATCGCCTCCACCCTCCCAGTCTCACTAGGGCCACTGAGGCAGGGATCTAAGGGCGGCATAGAACACGCCATGGAATACCAGACAAGACGTGGCGTCGGGCAATTTTCCCAGCAGCGCAAGCAGTTGGTGAGTAAGATTGTTATCGAACATTCACTCACACCCCCGAGACACCCCACCCACACGCATACAAACACACATGGGTGGGAACCCGACCCGACGGTAGGCAGGTGGGCTGGACGAGGAGGGGCAAAAGCACCGCTCTCCTCAGGTCGGCGGCCCCAGAGGGGGTTCCCGAAACCTACGCCCGACCTATTCTGTACTACCTTTCATGTCGACGACCGTCGCGGGCGATACTCTTCTTCTCTTCCAGGTCCTCGGTCGAGAGCCGGACTAACGCTCGTTTCATATTCGACGGGAAGATCAACATTGCGCTCTGAAGTGCTCTGCACCACGAGAAATTAAACGATCAAATCGCGCGAAAAAGCACCGTGTAAGCGTCACCACCCGCCGCCAGCAATCTATTCGCACGAAGCCGCGTCTCTCTCCAACCACTCGTTTCTCCTCACAGAAAAATATACGATCCAGACAAGCATCTACGCACCGGACTTATCAACGGCCAGGGCGATTCCAGCCATGTGCCGCATGGTTGTGTTCTCCGGCACGTGCACTCGCTGCGGCGACTTCTTCACGTGGGACGAGTTGTCGCAGGAGCTATCGTGTCTCGAGGCGAAGAATAATGGCAACTTCGGCGAGTGCAAGAGGGGAATACAGATGGAAGAGCACAGCTTCGACCAGGATTGCGACGCCTGCGCTGAGGAATACATGGCCGACGAGGGCTTCGTAGATGGAGGCGGCGAGGTCGCCGCAGACAACCATACCGACAAGGGGAAAAATAGACAGCAGGACACTGGGGTTATAGAAGCTGCCGGAGACCACCGTGACGAGAGAAGAAATCCTAATAAGAGGCAAAGGATGTTTTGAATGGCGCGAAACGAACGGATATGCGACTTGACGATGATGATCCTTGACGATTATAACGATTTGATATGATGCAGGTTTCTATGTTATGCATAATGGCATTTGGTGGGGAACAGGACCGGTTGGGGATGGAGACAAGGTTTGGGGGCACCTTTGCATCAGGTGCAGCCCACGAGTGATAGCACTCAATTGATGTGATCGACAATATGTCGACAATCCTACGGAGCGCTGAAGGCGTTGGATGTGCACGTTGGGACATCGACATGATTGATGGATTAGGGTCATAGTACTATTCATCATCGAGCAAGGCTAGATGCAGTGTCGAGTATCTGCAGACTTCGCATGCGAAAGACGCACACTTCCTTCTGTCATTATAATTCTTCTAATATCATCGTCTCCGAGAAACTGTGTGGCCTGATTGATGATATTGAGAAGTTCGCGGTATGGCTTCACATATATCCAATTCTAGATTCGAATGCAAATTACGGCTCCCACTCCAGCGGCTTCCAGCGTCAGCGTGCCATTACAGCACAAAGCCCTTCTGTGCTCTACTGGGCTCATTTCTCTCCATCCCACAGCTCCCTCACCACGCCCCAGTACCTCTCCTCGTCACTCCTCATATGCGCCACATGCGGCGTGCCCTTGAAGTTTTCCACCCTCACCACATTGAAGCCATTGGCCTTGGCCTCCGCGATGTGCTCCTCTACAGCATCAGAGCCAACGAGCTTGTCCGCCTCGCTGTAAATGTACGCCCTCCGCACCTCGTTGCTGTTTAGCGCTTTGTTGTTGTGCCCCAGCGAGAACTGCTTCAGGGGATCTGGCCGGCGCATCGCAATATAAGTGAGCCAGTAGGTGATGACAAGGCTGTGGAAAAAGGGCGCCATGATGATCTTCCACAAAGTCGACAGCCCAATGGTGAAGGCCGTCATCGTGCGCCCGTACGTGAACTTGCCAGGGCACGAGTCGTAGACGGTGACATTCGCCGGCAGCTCCTTCGACTCGCCCGGCTTGGCCGTCGAGGCGAACGCCTTGTACAAGTAGAACTTCATGGAGGAGCCGCCGTTGGAGAACAGGTGTATCAGCAGCTCCGGGTGTGCCGGGTCCCCGGCGCCGGTGCCCAAGATGGACCGGATCACTGGTATAGCAGGTAGGATCTCCCGCTCGAGGGAATGAACCCTCGTGAAGTGATGGGGCAGGCTTTTCACGACGAGGATGGGCGAGCTTGGGTAGATCGCCTGGAGCCGAACAGTGTACTTGGCAATGTGCTGGTTGGCAGCACCCATCCAGGCCCCAAAGAGGATGAGCTTGGGGTCCCGCTTCGTGGATGACGCGGTCGCAGCCTTGTCATCTGGACGGTAAAGGTAGATAATGTTGGAGATCTTTGTGAAATCTCCAAGAGGCTTCTGCTTCGATACCTCAGCGGCCGAAGAAGACATCTTGCTTGCCTCTTGCTCTTTGGGGCAGCGCAAATTCGTTAATGATACGAAAAGGATGATGTAGAGTAAGCCGAAAGTCCGTGTGAACGAGTAAGCATTGAGGTAGAGGCGTAAGCAGCCACGAAGCGGTAAATATATAAGGGATCAAAGCCAATTGCAGGATGAGACGCGAAGGATTCAACGATAGCGAGCGTTCAGGCGAATTGTGCCTCAAACTGTATGCCAAGGCTTCTCAGACCCAGCTCAATGATTGGATGCCTCGGCACTTTGAACTGTACCCAGGTGTCACTCTGCTCGAGTATTTGTCCAATTGGGGAATAACAACAGTAATCCGATCAATAATCCTAGACAGGGCTGACGGAAGGTACCTAATAAAAGCGCCAAAAGTTGAGAATGCCGCACAATTTGGTAGCGGAACGGAGGCCCCGGTTTCCCCGGGTACTCCGCATCGGGGCCTCTAGAAAGCCGCATCTCGCTCCGTGTCCGCCTTAAAATCGTTGAAGCGTGGAGCCAGATGGAGGATTCAACACGCTACCTGGTTTGACAGCAAGTCTCTCCATCATCATTGCCCACATATGCTATGCACGACCAAATTTAAAACGAGTGCAACAGGGAACTTGCCGGCCTTCTATGACTGACGTGACAGCTTGGCGACACCTGCCACCGATCTAATGACAGAGGAGTGGAGATTTCGTGCTTTATTTTGTTATCAAGACTCAAATCAAGGCGAATATCATCAGTCATCGAGTAATGCCCCCAGTGCCGCTTGCAGTGACACCTTGATTCAGTAGCGCTTGCCAAGTCGCTTCTGTGAGAGACGTGGCCCAACAGTGTCGAACACCACTTCCCAAATGAAGGAGCAGGCAGGTCGCCATATTCAGGGTCAAGCTGACCAACGGAATACAAGGATGACTAGAACATGTCGGCAACGGACCGACCGATCCCGCTCAACATGGCGCAGGTACCTGGATTTGGCCTTGAGAAGTGATGGATCATGAGATAGGCACCAGGCTGGTCTCGAATGTGCATCGGGAGTTATACGACGTGATTCACACTCCACAGGTTTCTTCGACCACGCTGGTTATGTTGCTTCGAAACGGACTCTTCCTCATCAAGCGATCAAATGAACTGACCCCTCCAGCACCTCCTTGCACACTGCGCAACCTGTTCAGGTCCGAGAATTGGCCTTGCAAAGATTACAGTCCAATGGCGAGGCGCGCTGGACCGAGAGTTGTCGAGTGTCGCTTTCGCTTCAACTCGTCAAAGCGGCGAATGCAACTTGCCGTGTAGGACCAGATTTGTCGATTACCAGCATTGCGTACAGATTGACAAGTAGCACCGCCGGACCTTTGACCTGCACAACCCAGAAAAAGAGTGGTCCATGCGACCGTTGAAACTATTCTTTACTTGCCTTCGGACACTGCACGAAACATTGTCCATGTTGCTATCTAAGTCAATAGGACGAGCCGCACTCTATTTTTGATGAGTATTCTCTCAACTCGATATTAACTTTACTGTCTTTGTTCGTTGGGAGGATTTTGCAAACGGCCAGGTCCAATCTAGGCGAATGACCATTCTTTACACCAAACGAATTCACTTTGAGCTGTGAGTCTGTCCGACATTGCCGCTGCACCCAGCCTCCGGTACTAGGTTGAGTCAAGTAGTACACACTTCCATGCTGCGAGCTTCAAGCCGTCAACTGTCAACACTTTGTCAGTTCAACGTCTCCAATCCTAGTGAGTAGCCATATGTCGTCCAGCTTTGGCCCATATTACCAACATAACCCATTGGTGCAGCACGAAGCACTTGTTGTCATTCAACGCAGGTTCTGTCTGTAGGAACCGGCATCATGCATATCTGCACCTCGCCGGCAGTGATGAAGTTGTCGACTGCTGCTATCACAGGAAGATTCGCCGGAAGGCACGTTAAAAATTCTCCTTTTCTCGTGCTTGGTTCTCGTCGTTTGCTCCTATTCTTTTTACCATCCCACACATCGATCAAGGTCTTGGTTACTCCCAAGAAAGTCATCCTGCTTCTTCCTTAAATCCCTTGTCCTTGTCCAAAGACTCATCATTCATTCCATACTCACCATGATGGGAATAACGATCAAGTTCCTCCTGATAGGTAGCTTACTTGCTGCTTCCTCGGCTTTGGGGAAGGATGACGATACTCAACACGACTCCCTCACCTCTATCCCAGGTTTCAAGTTCAACAGAGTGGTTGGACAGCGCCCCCATGGCAAGTCTCGCCTGCAACGCACTCACAGATCCAATCGTCTTGAAGCTTCTCGGCACGACAAGTCCGGGGCACGATCCGCCGCTGCTATTCTTGGAGCGCACCAACGCAAAATTGGTGGAACGGGCTATGAAAATATCACCGCAACTACTGCTCAGGGCACTCAGTATGGCATCAAGGCATCCTTCCGAGGGTTCGAGATGACATTGACATTGGACACTGGAAGCTCCGACACCTGGGCCGTTGCTGAAGGCTTTGAGTGTGTCAATTGGAGTGGCGAAGTCATACATTCCTCTTATTGTGGGTTCGGCCCGGCGTATCCATCTGGATTTGAGTATGGCGAGATTGAGGACGAGCATTTCTACATTCAATACGGCGATGGTGAGATAGCTGAGGGGCCATTAGGCTTCGTGGATGTCACAGTCGGCGACATTACCGTCAAGAACCAGACAGTTGCCCTTCCCAATTCGACATATTGGTACGGCGACAACGTAACAAGTGGCATCATTGGTCTGGCCTACTCTTCTTTGACGAATGCTTACGTTGGCGACCTAGATCAACACAGTTCGATCTACCAGGTCCCATACATGCCCATCTTCACCAGCATGGTTCAACAAGGGCTCATTCCAGGGACTTTCAGCATTGCTATCAGTAGGAACTCATCGGGCGGTATGATCGGATGGGGAGGGATTCCCTACGAGATTGCCGGTCTCGACTATATGTATGCAACTTATGTCGACATCATCGTTGTAAGGCTTCTCTGCTCTATTTTGAGCTCATTGCGCTAATATCCCTTCAGACTAACCTGGTTGATAACCCTTACACCTCATACGATTACTCCTTCTACACCGTCATCCCTGACGGCGTCATATTTGGAAGTTCCACTGACAGCAAGAAATACCCGTACATCGTTGACAGCGGCACGACGCTCATTTACGTCCCTCCGAGTAAGCTTAGTTCCTCGTCAGTCTACCTCAACTCCTCACTAACTTTCATTTAACATAGCACTGGCCGAGCAGATCAACGCTGCATTCAGTCCGCCCGCCGTCTACAGCTGGATGTACGGAGCGTACTTCACAGCTTGCGATGCCATCGCTCCAGTGTTTGCCATTGTGCTCGGCAACACTCCCTTCTATCTAAACCCCGTCGACATGATATATCGCGGCATCAAGGACCCTATTACAGGCTTGTGCATGACTGCCATTGCCAGCGGCGGCATGGGACCATATATTCTTGGGGATGCTTTCATGCAGAATGTGATGACAACGTTTGACATTGACAATGCTCAGATTGGCTTTGTCAGCCGTCGATTCTATTGACGAACTGGTGCTTGGATGGTAGAAGCGGGTTGCATGCTGCTACAAGACCTGGATAGCCTGATGTCTTATGGTGGTGCGAGAAGAGAGCAGAAGTATTCTCTGTAGCCATCACTAGCCATTATTGCTACAATGTTTTCATAAGTAGAGCCATCATTGTGCCCCAAACAACGACCATTTCTGTGTTCTGAATAGTTCGGAGAATTAGATCTTTTCTGTGAGACTACGGCATAATTCCTTATTATTGCTAACATGTAAACATACTAACACATCAAAAGAACTGCCATATTTCCTGCTCCTAGTCTCTCAATTCTCAAGACCATTCCAAGCAATAGTTCATATGCAGAGATGCGACCCAAGTGCGCACTCCGTTTTCGTAACTCGTTATATATGATAAATATTAAACCCGCCACAAATATCAGAGGTAACACGAATTTGACTTCCCAAACGAATCATCCCATCCCATTCAGTTCAAGTTAGGGAGCAGACTGAGAGATAGTGAAGTCGCTCGCAGTAGTGATCGCGGTTTCCAGGTGGCCCCAGTTCAATGTCTCTCCAAGATATCCAGCGAGCTGTCTCGCCGTGGCCATGGCGTTGCGGATCTGGCGACCGTTCAGCTCGCAGTCTGCCAAGTCGTCCATGTGCGAGACAATGCCTGGGTAATCGACGCAGAACTTTGCCCCGGCTTCAGTCGGCCCTCGGCCACCATCTTCATGGATCATGTTGATGAAATTGGCCCAGACTCGCTTCCTCGATGCCTTGTCGAGGCGCGGGTAAGACAGTGCGACTTGGATGCGCGACTTGAATGCCTCGTCGAAGATAGATACGCGGTTGGAAGTGAGAATCAAGATGCCGCTGTAGTATTCTAGCGTTCGAAGGAATACTGATTTGGTGTCAGTCAGTTTCGGCTTAGCATTGCAAGAGAACATGTGACGTACCAGAAACAAGGCTATTACGGTCGAGATCAGCCATAGATCGCTGCTCCAAGAATACATCTGCTTCGTCAAGAAGAAGGACTGCGCAATCGTTAGTAGCTGCATCACACCCAGGAAAATATAAAAAAGGCGCACCGCAGTTCCAAGTCTTTCCTAAATGGAGGACTGTGTTGAGATATCTCTCCACCGCCTCCGGGCTGGTGCCAATATCACCGCATGTGACACTGTACAGCGGCAACTCCGCCAGCTCCGCAACGCTCTCCGCGGTCAGAGTCTTGCCCGTTCCAGGCGGACCATGGAGGAGCATGATCAAGCCGTTGCCTTTGCCAGCGATGAGATCTCCGCGGACTTCCGGCTCAGCATCCGCGTCCTTGTTCGCTCGGGGCATCACCATTGCTTGAACCAGCGTCTTGGTCTTCTGAGGCAACACTAGTCGCTCGAAAGCAAGTTTGTTCCACGCCACTGGAGTGATCTGATCAAGACACAAACACACTGATGATGGAGTTAGCGAGTATTCATGGAACACGGAAACGTCTCGCTCGGGTCAACTCACCCCATCGCTTGTCCTTGAGGAAGAAGCCATGGATCTCTGGAGGTAGAAGCATGAAGTTGTCTTCGGAGAGGTAGGAATTGTTGGAGATGGACTCTGGCCATCGATCATAAAGAGCCTTAGCTGAACGACTGAAGCTGAAAGCGGTCGCAGCACCGTGGAATTTCCTGTAAGTCTGATAGTCGATCATGCAACGGGAACCCTGTCCCTGTTCGAGTCCGTTAAGTCAGTATACCCATTTTCATACGAATATGACGAAGCGAACTCACATATTTGCGCTCCTTCTGATAGTCCCAGCCTTGGTATGATACATGTTGCTGATGCCTGTATCCCCAGAATTGCTGTCCTCTGCTCACAAGCCTCTGCCTCACCTCATCGACCATGTTCTTGGCAGGGTACACAGAGAGCGACGTGATGTCTACGATAGCGTCCCTTGCCACTTTGACAGTGAGACAAATTTGGCGACGCTGTAGCCGTTGACCGTCATATCCCCAACTCCAACAGTTCAGCTGCAGACCGCCATCGATTTCAATCGGCCAGTCCTCAAGCACATAGGCAGCCGGGATATTGGAGTCGGGTCCTCGCTTGGTGGCAATGACCATGGAGTTTGGACAAAACAGCCACGGGAGAGTATTGGCACACACCTTCCCTTGTTTAAACAAGAAATCACACGTCTTTAGTCTGCCATAGTCGGGCGACTCATGCCCTAGGAACCATAGAAGCGCTTTGATGTCTGCCCGGAACGGCTCGTTCGCAAGGATGTTCTGGAGAATCTCCCTATGATGATACAGGAAGCGCGGCCGGTACACGCCGTCTGGTGGAAGTGGCCGATTGAAACCGTTGGTGTTGCTTCGACTCTGCGTATCACCGTCTGGCAAACAGCGCGATATGCTAGTGAGAGTGCGCTTGAGCTCATCAGACACGACATGGATCTCATTGCTAGTGCTTTCATCCGGCTTGGTCCAGTCTCTGGATGCCTGTTTCGGGCATTCATAGTCTCTGAAGACATAGAAGCGAACATCTCGATTAAGAGCAACGTACGCCTTGAAATCGCTAATAAGAGTATCACCGGCAATGTGATGAGAGCCCGCGGCATGGTCGTCGCGAGAAAGCGGGATATCAGCGTATGTCTTTCCCCGGCACGCGGCCCTGGAGCAATGGACACGGTAAAGCGTGCGAAAGTACGCATGAGGATCCTCATCAATGACTCCAATCGATGTCCAGGTTGTAGATTCTTCATTCGTATTTTCTTCAACAACCTTTGTATGCCGCGGTGCATCTGCATCGACATCCACCATCAACGCATCGTCTACATCTGGTAGCGTGCACGGCGACGAAGGTGTTCTCACATCGATTGGGTCCTCTACTGCATCATTCGTTGAAAGGAGGGATTCACCGAAGTCGGCCACCTGGCCATCGAAAGCAGTACTCTTATCGGCTGGGGCGGAGATACGGCAACGCACTCCCAATCATTGTCCTCAGCGCTTGCTGACTGGTCTTCAGGCAGTGTGTTAATGGGCACAATGCGGCTCCGCTTTTCCCGGAGCGATGAGCCCAAGTCACATTCATCACCGGTCAGGTCGATTGTGTTGGATGTGGACGCGACTGGGCCGGCTTCAACTGCAGTGTCATCTCGGGATCTCTTCCGCCCATTGCCTGGGCTGCTTGGTTGTATTTGTGTATTGGAATCAGCTTGCTGCTCTGACTGATATGGAAGTCCTGGTCCGGGCAGCAGAATATCGGGGATAAAATCTTCATCCTGAGACATTTCCTTCTCGGTTTCAGGAGCGGCCGACTGGTTGCATTGGACTGGCTGAACCAAAGGACCAGAGGATCCATCCGAGAACAATGACTTCTCGTTCTCGGCCATCAGAATTGCAGGCGGGCCGGGGAACGTTTGACCAGGAGCAACGGGTATCATCTTGCGGTTCATGTCCCACAGCTGGGCTACCCGAGCTTTCAGTTTGTTATTGCTCTCCTGCAACGACTTCTCGCGCTCACTTGCCAGGCTCCACGCCATCAGCTCACCGTCCTGTACAGCACTTCTCTGGGCGGCAAGCTGTTGCACTGTGGGAATATGCATGGACGGGGACTGCGGGTTGATCCGGGACTGGGCAACCCTCATGGCTTCCAGCATTGCCGTACGATGAGCAGCCAGTTGAGGCATCATTTCAGGATTGGCTCCTGAGTGAGGGCCGGGCTGAGGCCGAGCAGCCCTCATAGCTGCCATTAATGCTGCTCGGGCAGGAGTTGTTTGCGGCAACCCTGCGGGACTGGTTGCTGGCTTAGGGTCGAGTTGCAGCCGGGGGGCCCTCGTAGCTGCCATATGTGCCGCATGGGCAGGACTCATTTGTGGCATCCCGAAAGTTGGGAGAGCAGGCGGTTGGAAGCATTGCACCACAGCAGGAGGCGGTTGCATAGCGGTGGTCGCCTGTTGACGCATGAAAATAGCTGGTGAAGGAACATCCGCCTGTCCATCTGGCTTGTTCGCAGCTGGCTGATCTGTCTGCGTGGTCGTGGCCTCGTTGGTTGCTGAAGCCGGTCGCGGTGGATTCTCTTCTGTTGCAGCTTTGCTATTCTGATCAACACTGGGCTCATCATGCCCTGACGGTACAGGCTGGCCGACGTCCATGTCCACGCCCGCTGGAGTTCCGTCTTGCTTCCGTCCAGCCATTGCCAAGCGCTTCTCGTTCTGCTGTTCAAGCTGCTTCAAGTGCAAGTGATAATCGCTCGATGCACTATGTTTTGACGGAGCAGATTGACACGATCCCTTGTCGACATCCGAAGCCTTGTCAACACCTGCCGGCGTCCCATCTTGTTCTTGCCGAGCCATCTGGAGACGTTTCTTGTTCTGCTGCTCCAGCAGCATCAACTGCATCTGATAATCCTGCAAGGCAAGGTTATTAACTCCCTGCTGTGGATAAGGCCCTGACGCCAGCCTCTGGAACTCAGCGCCCCAGGGCGTCAACTGCTGGTGTTGGTGTTGTGCCAACTGGGCAGGATTCATGCTGTGGCCTTGTGGGGCGCCATTGTTGGAGGGAGGAGGCCCATAAGGATTTTGGGTCGTGTCGCCGAGCAGCGCCGGGTTGATCGTGCTGCCATGATGGGCGCCGGCCGTATCATGGCCGGCTAACATGCCGAATGACGACTCCTCTGCGGCTGTAGCTCCGGCCGTCCGGTCCTGCGAGATGGTGGCGCTGACGGAGTCGGCGGCCCGAGCCATCGGGACGCCGTCCGATAACGTGTAGAATGTCGGCGCCGGAGTGTCAGGGAACGACATGACGAATAAAGATGAGGGAGCGCAGTAGAGATCAAGCAAATTCCCAATCAATCAATCAAAGAAAAAGAAAGGCAAAGGCGTCAAGTGTGGTCAAGTGCAGTAAAGCCTCGTGGAGACTGCCTGTACGATCAACACGAGGCTCGTAGTGCCCTGTCAAGTAAAATGACAAGACGAATCAAGAAACAGAGTGAACAAAAGGCTGAACCAAACAAGAACTTGAAGATGGAACAGAGGAGCCTCCACCTCAATGAATCTCGGCGAAGATGAATTGAAGAAGTTCAAGACATGAGACTCTTGAATATTAATGTGTCACAGAGGAGGGGAAACGACTGAGTTTATATACGACCCAGACGAGGCGACAGACGCAGAGAGCACTGGAGGCAGCAGCCAGCGAAAGAGGGCAGCCAGCCTACTGAGCGAGCGCCTTGTTCCACTGGACTGGACTGGACGGGCGAACCAACGACTGTCTTGCTTCAGCGGCCGCGCCAATCCAAATGTATGGACCTGCGTCTCAATTGAGGCTTCGCATACGTCCCCCCATCATTGGAGGGAGTGTTGCCCAACCAGTCTAGACTACTGGCTGTTCGCGGAACTAGAGAATGATGATGATTCCCTGATCCACGGGTTCTAATGAAGTATGAATACTTTGGGCTTAGCGTGAATCAGCCTATGCGGTGCTCCCTTTTAGGAAAAGATCAGTACAGCATCTCGTTCGGGAAAGACGGCTACCAAACCATGTCATGTTATTAGACGACCAATCGTCGCGAACGTCAATTCCAATATTACGAAGGGCACTGCTTGGTCCTAGAATATGCTACTGTACACCTGGGCCCCCCTTTCTGTCCATAACCCTCGCTTTTAACCAATAATCCTTCCATGCGGTGGGGAATCATCATCACTGTCGAGAATGCTAGGAAAAGCTGGAAAGGAGCTGCATGATCCGGTAAGGAGCACCGCAGTGTCCTCAACGTACATCACGGTCTCCGATGAAAGCAATGCGCGCACACGTCAACAATCCAGGGAGCAATCACCCTCAGCGTATTACTTGCAAAGCCACGATGCACGCATGGCAAGAAACGACTGGCTCGAGCAGAGATGCTGAAAGCCGTCTTCATGAAGGTCCGTTGGTGCCAGGATGCACAACAAGACGCCTGCTTAGGAGTTGATCATCCACAACCAGTATCCTGGAAATCCCTCAAAGAGTAGCACGGCATGATAGTATCAGATCGTGTGTCCTTTCAACGAGCAAGCAGTCATGTTCAAACCAGGGCATCAATCCGGAATAGCCCAGAGGCTCAAAAGTGCAGGATGCATCTGCTCTGTTCATGGTCATGCTGCATTTACCATAGTCGTAAACCGACGAATAGAGGCGCGTACGAGCAGTATAAAATATGAGAAGCTGCTGATATAGCAATGTAGCTCAGCAAAAAGTGTCATGGGTAACGTTGAAAGCTGTGTGTCAAGGACGCAAGCAATGAGTTATACAGTCAGACAACAAAGTCCACGTGTGGTGAGATGGTGTCGGAAATCTTGGGTCAGAGAAGGCCATCAAGCCGGAGGAGCTCCATCATGATGCCAGATGAGGGCAGCGTCATGAGAACATTCAAGGTTGTTGCAAGGCATCAAGCCACATTAGGCGGCTTAAAACATCAACATCAAGCGTCAGACGAAGCATTGTGTCGCGAGAATCGAAGGAGGCACGCTTCTACGAGGTTCCAGGCGGCTTTGCAGCATCACCGCCGCCGGCTTGCTGCGCTGCCAAAGCCTGATACCAGAGGGCAAGGTAGGCGTTGTAACCACCATCTGCATCGTTTGTTAGTCACTATGAAAAGGCTTGAGGAAAGATCAATTAGAGGGGACTCACAGGCTGCATACGGATCAGCTTGTCCGTTACCACCTGCAGGTGCTGGAACTGCAGGAGCGTTGTTCATCGCTGCACTGTTGTTGTTAGATGGCTGGCCATAGCCAGGATTGTCATAATCGCGATGTTGGCCACGGCCACCTCCTCGGCCGCCGCCGCCACCTCCACCGCCCATGTTCTTTTGTCGCTGTAGGTTCATTAGTGTCTATCGTTGCGTTTGTAGGAAAAGCATGATGACTTACAACTGCCTCGACTTTGTCTTCAATAGCTTGCTTGGCGCGATTAATTGCATCAAGACTCCCAATCAGACCAATTTCTCGTTCAACCTCTCCCGGGCCAGAAGATTGTGAGACGTTAATCTTGCAACCCGTAGTGTTTTGCATCTCCCGGATTGTCTCGCCACCTTTGCCGATGATCATACCAACGGCTTCTGAAGGAACGTAAATTGAGTCGTTGATCTTGTCAGCACCGCCGCCGTGTCCAGCATCGCGGTTGTTCCTCGATTGCTGTTGTTGGGGTTGTTGTTGCTGCTGGTTATTGCCGCCACCTCTGCTGTCGCTGTCCACAATCTCCATGATAAGGTCCTTTGCATGGACAGCAGCAGCATGAGGTCCAATGAGGTTGACGGGACGAAGACCATTGACACTCTTAGACTCGCCGACGATGTTAATGTGGCAACCACTTCGTTCTTGCAAGTCTCGAATAGTCTCTCCTCCACGGCCAATAATCAAGCCAACAGTCCGATCAGGAACCATGATTTGCATGCAATCTTCGCCATCTTTGAGGGGCGCCTGTGCTGCCGCCGCTGCCGCGGCGGCGGCGGCAGCTGCAGCTGAAGGACCTCCTCGATTTGAGTCGCGGTTGCCGCCCCGATCGAGACCAGCCCGTGCGATAGCACCCATGCCACTGTCTTCAATGATCCGGTTGATGGCAGCCTTGGCCTCCGCTCTTCTAGCGCGAGGGCCAGTAATCTTGCACTGTCGAAACTGATCATCGGGATTGGTAGCTGGTAAGAATTGTACTCGGCAATGGCTGTCGCCTTCAACTCGTCGTAGATTCTCTCCCTGTCGTCCGATGATCAGTCCGACCAGACTGGACTCGATCTGAATGGTTTCTGAGTTATCATCGCCTCCTCTTGGGGAACGGTCCCGGGCGCCACCATTTGCACCACGAGGTGAGAATGTGCCGCCCTGACGTCCTCTTGGGCCAGGAGAGTAAGACCGATCACGACCACCATAGTCACGACCTGAGCCGCCACGATCCTCGCGGCGCTCATCTCTGTAGGGGTTGAAGTTATCACGGAAGGCATCACGACGAGTTGGAGATCGTGAGCGAGATGATCTGTATGCTCGTCCATCGCCGCGCGAGTCGGCAGAGGCGTAGACGGGTGGTCGCTCATATGGCGCAACACCCTGGCCCGCGGCAATGGCCTTGGCTTTCGCGATCGCGTCCTCGATGCTGACTGTGCCGGAGGTGACAGGTTTGATGGCACTGAGGTCGAGGTTACCGCTTGACGACGGCTGGGGGTAGGGATAGCCGCTGGGAGGCTGGTATGCTGACGGCGGCGGAGCGCCTGGATAGCCGCCTTGGGGAGGAGGATGATACGATGGCGCAGGAAGACCAGGCTGGCCTTGGGTCGGGGTCGATGTTGCTGGTCGCTGCGACTGGGACGCTGGTGGCGGGTTAGCTTTGAAGGAGACGTAGCGAGTAACAGCTCCTGCAGTTGGCACAGTTGACATACCTAGAGCAGCCAGGATGGAATTTAGATCAGGGCTTGTATTCGCCATTTTGTCTTGCCACTGCGTTGACGCTGTCTCGAGTTGGACGGGAGGTTGCAGGGTGATGGGAGCTGGGCGAGGGTGCAAAGTGGAGGACGAGGAGCTTTCGTCTCAGATTTTCTTTGACGCAGGAACGGGACAAGCTGTCGTGTCAGCTGCGAACGAGACGCGCGCGCAAAGCCCAAACTTTGCCTGGCGTCAGAAGGCCCGAGCTGTTGCGCCAGATATCAGAAGGAAGACTTTTGTTCAAGCGCAACAGAATAGACAACAGTCAGCTAGCGCCGCTATGCTGAATCTTGGTGTCTGCCGTTAGGGTACTGTTCACAAGAGGGAAGAAAAGCGATCGTGATGATGGCAAAATCGAAGGCCGGGAGAGAAAGAAATTCTGCAGGGATACGCTAAAAGTGGAGTCGGAAAACTGAGCAGTCACGGTCGGCAAACTGCGCTACTTTAGCATAGGTAGGGCAGGTCCTACGGGGACCTTTACGTACTGTATGTGTTATACAGGAGTAGGTATGTACGAGATGAAGCTCGCTCCTCTAAATTTTCCTTCTTTTGCAGAATGGCGATTCTCCATGTCTTCTTGAGAAGGGACAGATTATAATTAATAAAATCTCGCGTATCATACTGCTCGCGTAAAAATTGATCAGCTGCTCCTGTGACTGAGGCCTTCCATGTTTGATTAAAGTTTGAGGTGCCCTGTGGAAATTGCCGTGTTCACTAAGATGGAACGGGTCAGCTGGCCAAAAATGCCGCCCCTTAGCTGGTGATCACAGCTGGCACGTGACGGATCACATGGACCCTTCTCCTTGACCAAGCTGTGGCTCATCTTGCATGGTTGCACTCCTGCTTGTAGAATTGTAAATTTTAACAGAGACTCTTCGTCGAATATTTATTTTTCCTATACTAGTCGTAGACCTCATTCCTTTCCAAGCATTTAATTCTCTTTGCCGTCCTGGACTCAATTTAGTACTTCGTGTATATTTCATCAACTCCTACAGCATGACAATCAGGCTTATATTAAGCCAATTGCATCACAAAGAGCTAGCATTAAATCATTAGAAAAAGTTTTGCACATTAGTTATCATGGCAAAAGAATATCCTTGCTGTGTTCTCAATTGATGGAAGGGAAACCCGAGGTACTCTCGTTCTCGATCAACTTACACGATGTCATTGCAACTATGTCAATGCGTAAACAAAGCTCAATAAATACAACACATGGACATCTCGACAGAAAAGCAAATCTAAGGGCTACACATTCTCCACATTCTTCATGAGCTTGTGGTAACATTCAATAAAGACATCACACTCGAAAAGAAAATATCTATTGATGAAGCACTCAATGCGTACAAGATGGGGCATCAAAGGTTGTTTCAAGTCTCAAGCCTTCGAACTCAGGTGCGTTGGTCAGGCCGATTCATGCAGAGGCTGACTAAGAACTAGATGAGGGGGGTGTACCACGCTCAACATCAAAGCTGTACCTTGATTCTCTTTAGGGACAGTAAATCACGCTGACACAAAAGCGATGCAATAATTTGATTCAATACACTGCCAATAAGATATCCATCAAGTCTGAGGTATTCCACTTCCCCAGACGCATGTCAGTTGTTGCAGGAAGCTAATGCAACATTCTTTCACTTGCAGACCAGGCTTTCCGTTAGCACAGAAGAATGAGTGTCGTGGGGCCAGGGGTCACAGAAGCGGCTCAACCTCCGCCGCCACCTCGACGGACCAGGAGAGAGCATAGCAAAAGTCGCAATGGCTGTACGGTCTGCAAGCGGCGCCACGTGCGATGTGACCAGGGGCGGCCAATCTGGTATAAGTTATCAATGTTGCGCCGAGTGGAGGTGATGCTAATTGCCGATCGTAGCTCGAACTGTCTAGTACGCGGCGATCAATGCATCTACGAGAGACACTCTCCGACCGACAGTACAAGTAGAGAACAGTCCATGGCCATCAGGCTTCGTCGTGACACAACCTCCTCTCCTATTGATCTAACAGGGAGACTGGCAGACCCGTTTGAGAGCTGGGGAATAGATATGCCATATCACTCTGACCAATTGCTGTATCATCGTGAGTCTCAGGGCCGCGCCGTCTATTTTGTTTTGTTGTAGACATGGCAATTGCAGTATTATAAGCTAATGTTCAGTCGGTTCAGATTTATCATATCGAAACGAGCTACGAAGACGCATACTGGGCAACACAGCTGCAGACGAGTAAGTAGACTCTGCCCTCTCAACAACAAATACCGAACGGGTATTTAGGAGGAATCGTACAGCAGTCCAACGTATTATCTAGATAAGCTGATAAACGAGTTCTGCAGCCATGTGCCCACCAATTACGATCCGAACTTTGCATGCAAGCGATGTTTTCTTCTGATGTCTGCTAAACATCATTACGGCTTAAGCGGTCGATGTGATTGGTCTCGAGAACGAACCTTTTTGTATCACAAAGCCAAGGTTGTTCGATGCCTGAGAGAGCAAATGCTCATCAACCCGACTAACCCTGGGGATTGGTCCTTGAGCGTGATAATCTTTTTAACCTGGATGGAGGTACAGAAGACTCGGACGAAACAATACCGGCAATTGCTAACACTGTGTCGTAACAGAGCCTCGATCGTGATACTTATGCAGCGGAAGCGCACTTAAGAGCCTTGATAACGCTCATGACTATTAAACAACCTCAAGAACAGGGGCTCTATGCCCGAGGCCGTATGCTGCTCAAGCTCGGTATGCTGTAAGCCATGCCAACTGCACAACTACTATCGTTTTCATTCCGACTTACAATGTCTAGGTTCTTGAGTTTAATCGAAGCATCTAAGAAGGGAGAGTCCGGTCTTGGCTTCAATCCCCCACAATGGCAACACTCCAACCATGTTCTGGCACCAATACATTCGTGGGACTGGGCCAATGTAGCCTACATCCTGTCTCTACTTGTGTCAGAGTTTCTGGTCAAAGACGGCCACTTGCTTGTTTCACGACCACAAGAAGCCACCGATCTTGCTTGCCTCCAGTGGCTTGTGAAGGAGATACGAGTAGTCCACGATATTGAGAGTCAGCCGGCAAAACCTTGCAGCGTGTCGCGGCATTCTGACCCTCAGCGCAAGATATGGGTTCTCGCAGCGGCGTGCTATGCCTTACTCCTGACGAGTGTGTCGGAACCTACAATTGATAGCAAGATCAATGCCGAGACAGGAGAATCATTTGTAGTAGATGAAGTTGCGGAAGCAAAACTCAACGAGTTGCGCCGTTGGTGGCATAGGAGGGTTGCCGCATGGACTGGCTTTAAGAAGCTGCCATGGTGCAGCTTATCTATCGAGGTCTTGGGAAAGGTCGCATGGCTTACAACTATGGACGGCGAACCAGTGATAGCACAACTGTACAGAGACGGTCTTTCCCAGATTGGGGCATCGAAGCAATAATCTATTTCCACTTTCCTCAACTTTCCATCGGCCCCTGAGGGCCCCGTGATTTTCGAGCCAAATTTTATCTTCAGTACTGCAGATGAAAGAAAATATATCAATTAAAAAGGAAGACGGAAACAGAATTTATGGGCTTGGTCTACCATCCGATCTTTTGGTAAAATAACCCGCAACCCTAAGGCGAAGTGGTCGGCTGGCCTCGAACCTTGACATCGCCAGCAAATTAACTCAACCTTCCAGGCTTCCCCCTTCTTGCCTTCAACCACCCTACCCAATTTCTTTTTTGTTCAACGACTCATTTCTTTCAAGGGTAATTTCTTCATGAGGGTGTTCACGAAACCTCTATGAGAGAATTCGTCTTTTTCGAAACTCGACGCTTCTCACCTTGAGCCCGCTCTTCACGGGCTCCATGCCATCACGATTCGGCCGTACATGAGGAAGAGAGCCACAAACTCAAAATTCACACAGAATTGGTGAATCTCTACTACACTGCAGGGGTTTGGTCAAGCAAGAGGTTTTCATCATTTCTTTCCTGAAACTTCCAAACACACTTCCTTAGTTGCTCATGCAATCTGAGAATTTTCCAGACCAACCCAACAAAAGCCAACAAGGAGCAGACTTTCCAAAGCACCACCAAACCTGCTGCCATTTTTTTGAGCCGAAAAGGTAAGTTATTTCTCAACTGGTGCCTGGAAAAGTACGGCAGCAGCCCTTCATTTTTGTGGCTCTTGTCTCGTTCAACTTCATGGGAAACGGTTCCGCAAAAGGATTTTATCTTCCATATCCTTTACATTGGCTCATTTCAACTTATCTAACTCGATTACTCTCTAAATCGTCCGAAAATCCGAAATCTAGGGAAGGCTACTCATATCCTGATCACTCTATACCCAACCTCCGAAATCTGACTACGAAAGAATCCCCTCCTACCTCACTTGGAACAGTCTTGCAATGATTGCACACAATTCCTTCATGACGGCTCACTAGTATCCTCTACACCCTTCCATTGTTCATTGCTACAAGAACAAACAGTGACAGATGGTTATGATACAATGCTTTCCAACGTGGGCTTATCGTTGTACGCAGGCCGTGGAGGGCTACGGGGACTGGTCACAACTCTATTCCCTCCGCCTCCAACGGCCAGTGCTCACAACATGGCTGGGACGTCATCTGCCAGGGATGGCGATGTAGACGATATAGCTCCAGACGAAGAGTTCGTTGACTCACGTTCAATCTTTGAAGACACCTGGCGGGACGATGAGAAGAGAGTCGGCGATCGGTATAAGACCTTCGACACTTTCTCTCTGGCAAGTAGACCCAATCCTTCTAATTAAAAGCGCTCTAACATATATACAGTCTGAGCTGAAAGAGAGTTATCCTTTCATTGAGAGTTGGTATAAGAAATACCGAGAGACTCATCGAGACTTTCCCCCTTGGCCTGCCAGAGTGTTTGGTCCTGCTCTCGCGGTTGCAAAGTTGAAGTTGACGAGATTCTCTACCTTATTCAGTAAGTCTTATTTCTCAATCGTCGTGCCATGAATATATCTTCCTCTTACTCTTTCTCACATTGATCATGGCGTCTATTTACACCTAGAGAGCACCCCAACTGACATGGTGACAGGCCACTTCAATCAACTTGAGCAGGAGTCTGAGGCCTATTCAAACGAGACTACAGAGAGCCAAGCCAGCCATCAGTACTTAGAAGATGACGCCAGTGAGGTGTTCGGTGACTACACGATCGGCAACAACGACGACATGGAGTACGTCAAAGCCAAGCTATACCAACCCTCCCACACCAATGATGTCCTCGCGTTCCTCACTGCGATGTCCCATCTCACTGTAGGTCAAGAGCCTGGCACGATGGAGTTCCTTTATGAGAACCACCTCAATGCCTTAGCCGTTGCCACCAACTCCATCGCACCGCCGGTCGACGATACCAAGCCTAGACCCACAGTTTACAGCACGGAGCATGAGGCTCACTCGTCTGATGATGAGCCCGAGACTGAACGTTGGCGTGCGGAGTTAATCATATACCCGGATAACCATCCTATGCTATCTCCTCGAAAACTCATGTTCGCCCTCAACTTTCCGAACCTTGCTAAGAAGGAGTGGGCAGAGCTCGGCGGTGCCGACCCCGACACTATCGAGCTGCCGAAAACATTCAAGGAGATCGACAATAAACAGCGACGTGACCTTTTTGATCGTGCCGAGAGAAACGCAGAGGGCGATGGTGTCTGGGATCGCGTCATCGAGGCAATAGAGAAGCGAAGCCTTCACGCCCTGTTCCCTAGCATCCCTCTCTCCGCGAAGGAGCGCATCATTGAGGAGCAGCGCATTGCTAAAGAGCGAGAGGCCTGGCAAGCGGCCATGAAGGTGAAATATCAACGAGAGGGGTGGCAATTTCAAGAGCCTCCGACTCAAGACCAATCAGCTCACATGCAGTTAACTCAAGAGCAGTCAGCTCAAGATCAGCCTCAGGCTCAAGAGGGTTCACAGGGAAAGCATGCAGCGAAGAACAAGAGAAAACGAGATAAGAAGAAGGGAAAGAAGAACGCCGCACTCGCTGCGCCGGATCAGGAGCACCATGAGGCTGGAATGTCTGAAGAGCCCATGGCAACAGGTCAAGGTGCCAAAGCCCAAACTGAGACTGCCATGGACAACTTCTTGGAGAATACCGAGTCGGAGGACCCCGGCCATGAGAGCAGATCCATGGACAACGCCTACTTGAATGATAATGACATGGATGAAGACCGATCGAAGGATGCCGCAGAGTCTTCCACGAATCTCGAGCAGACCTCGGACTTGATGGCAATCTCTCAAGATGTGGGCGGTCCCAGCGGGATTACTCAGGACAGTCCTGTGGATGAGCGCTTGGAGGACATCGAGTTGGATGAGATCTCTCGACCGATTAAGAGCCCGAACATATCCAACTCTGGCTTCGCAGAATGGACACCAATCTCCCAGCAACAGCAATTCGTCCACGACAACACGACTGAGTACGACGTTGATCAAGAGGGGCTAGAGATTACTGACGATAGCTCTTCTCAGACTCTAGTCGAGGAAGAGCCTATCCTGGCCGAGGACACAAGCGTCGAGGATTCCGATCATAACGAAGAGCTACAGTATGCGGAGGACAACATTCTTCTGGCAGAAGAGGATGACGAGCCCGAGGTGCTTTACTCGAGCGAGGAGGTATCGGATATCTCAGCCATGGCCCACGGCAACGGTGACGTTCAAAACCAGGATGAAGTCCAGCCTCTAACAACAGTCCAATCCTATCGTCTTCCGCTGGTTGCACCGGCCCTTCCAGACTATGAGAGACTACTTGAGGTCATTGCGATAAACAGCGGCTTATTAATTACTCCTGCTCGTGGTACGGATACACTTGGCGACGACTTGTCCTCAGCGTCTGAAGTGACCGGGGAGCATGATGAAACCATCAACGATATCGATGCATCCCTATCTGATCCCGACACTCTGCCACAGGCTCAAAACCTCGAGACTGATTTCGTCATCGGCAGCGAGGACGATCGCATCAGCATTGTCGAAGAGTCTGATGCACCCCCGGCTGATCAAAGCTCTTCTCCTCCACATACTCAACTTGAAGAGGCCGATTCCGTCACCAGCAGCGCGCAAGATCTCATCAGCATTGTCGACGACGACATGACTGCTCTGATAGATTTTGCCCCTTCTGCTGCCTCTCCGGCAACCGTCCCTTCGCCTCGGGTCCTGCACGCCAACACCGGCCCCAGAATCGACCCTCTTATTTCAAGACTCATTGATGAGTCGGATGAGGTCTCTGGCGGTTATAGCGTAGAGGACCAGTACAACCGGTCTCATCGAGGCCGCGGACGCTCAGAGTCTTCGTCGGAATGGAGGTGCACAAGATGGGCGTGCACAGAGTGTTCTTAGAAGGCGAAGCCGTCTAGATTGGGATGGAACTCGCATCGAGGGAGACGATGGCTCACTCGGCGCACCTAAGAGTGGTTTTGGGCAGAACGTTGCCATCTTGCGATCGATCCGTCACAACCACATCTAGGGGATACATTTGCGGGCACGATTGCTTTTGGAGGAGTTATCATTTTTATTTTCTTCCGTCCTTTGCCACGGAATGCACTCGGGACAGATACGACCTTGATGACTTCAGATTGACAGACAACAAACGGATCATCGGAGCATTTTGGGGACCGTTTATCGGAGGGGATCATACGCAGAGGAGCACCGTGACAGCTGCCATCGAGGTAGCCGTTGCAGGCTTTGAATGAGGCGACAGGCCAGATCACGGCGAGGCGTATAGCATGCAGTCTTTCTGATACCCCATCATAGCATAGATAAATAGCTTTTTTGGTAGCTACTCAATCCCTGGCTTCTCCATAGATCTTGTGTGTCGCGTGCATTTGAGTAAAACCTGGTCAACCCATCCATTCAATGCTAATTCCGACGTATGGCACAGCAGCTTGGCGAACATTAGCGAATACGACACCGATCATTGAAATGCAATGATGAAGGATTCGTCGCAGCAGTTAGGCTGTCAGAAACTCCTGAAGTCCATTTCAGATGGATTGAGAAACCGACGATCTTTATTCTAGAAATCTCCCAGAATCGGCCACCGCACTGGTTTGAAGATAATCCTTGGGGCTGAAACAGCGCAATAGAAGGCCACACACCACAGTGACAGTGATACTTCGAGACACTAGGGGCCAATTGGATCGCACGAACTGCCTCATAGGGCTGGTTGGCGGCCATTTTGCACTAAGATGACATCCATGGAGCAGAGCTGAGCGATCTGCGCCGGAGCCGACGGAGAACAGAGGTCTGTCGAGGCCATTTAGCGTGCTCTCGTCAGATCCTTCAGGTCAAGCTTGTCCTTCTCAGTAGCGAAGCTCCACCGCTCAGACTCAGTCATCCCCTTGATAATCACCAGCATGGCAGAACAGCGCAGGCTGAACTCGGTCACGCCTTCCCATTGCATGATGGTCTGCCAACTCCAAGGTTGTTCTGTGACAGATGGCTTGGACAGCATGAATCAACCTTCACTTGGCTCCGTCTCAAGAGACGCGATGCAGCCGCTGAGCCCTGAGGAAAAGCCACTCCGCCGGCAGAGCTGGCGCACACTAAACCAGAAAAGAAGCGCTGCGCCGCTGATCTTCTGACGCTGGCAGGCTGTGCCACCGTTGGGTCGGCTGGGCTAGCGGTTGCGATTAAACGCCCGGATCGCGGGCTGCGCCAGATAGGGGCGCCAAAGGATTCAAAACCATGTCCCGGACCAAGACACACTCTAACACCGAGTAAAGGTTCCACCTGCAACGGCACAAACCCCCCAAGGATCACTGATCTGTGAAAATGAGAGAGTGCAGATCCTCCGCGCGCGAGGAGAGTGCCCGGCATTTGGGTCTCTCCTCTTCTTTTCTCCTCCTACACTTCTGGCTTTCTCGGATTGCATCACCGATTCCAACACGTGCGACTCGTCTGCGGACGATGCCTCTAGGACCTCGATCGTTCTGTCAAGTCGAGTGACACGGCGTGCCATTCGTTACGTTCTCTGAAGTGCTGGGACACCGTGCAGCAAACAATGGAGAGAAACCAACAATACCACCAGGGATTGGAGGTCTCGCCCTACCAACACTCGACATCCCCGGCCTACGATCCGAACGCGGTCCAACACCAAGCCTCCGGCCTCGAGGTCGTCCCAGAGCAGTACAGTGGGCTACATCCCGTTGAATATTCGCAGGGCGAGAAGACTGTAGTTGGAAGTAATGCCTACTCGCCCTACCAGCCAATCCCTAGCTCTGATGGGAGTATGGGTGGCAAAGGATATGGGGGTTACGGGCAGGACATGACAGCTATGCCGATACCAATTGAGCAACAGCAGCCAGAGAAGAAGAGTCGCAAGAAGATGTGGTGGATTCTAGGCGCCATCATAGCCGTCATAGTTATCATCGCCGCTGTTGTGGGCGGTGTCGTGGGAAGCCGGTCATCTCGCTCCAGCTCCAATAAGGACTCGTCCTCGTCAAATAATGGGGACGGAGACGGCAGCAGCGGTGGAAGCTCGGGCAACGGCACGTCGTCGTCTAATACAACGGAGCCCCTCAAGAACATCCGACCGAATGCGAAGCTCGCTGTGACGGGATACCGGATCGACGACGGCTTCCGCATCCGACTGTTCTTCCAAGGTCCGGAGGGCAACTTGCGCTACTCTGACTATCTCAGCGTCAATGATGCCTGGTCCAACCCCATCGAGCTGGACAATCTCAAAGCCATTAACGACACACCTGTGGCTAGTTCGACGTTGTTAGACGAAGACCCGCCGCAAGTGTACCTCTTTTACTCGGACAGGAACAACGAATTGAAGGGCCAGATCTTTCAAGATGGTACGAGACCTGTCAAGGGTGACGCTGCGGGCATCAACTCGTTTCCATTAACAATCGACGTTTCGTCACGCATGGCCAGCTACTTCCCGTATGTGGTATCGCAAGACGCAAACACCGGTACCATTCGGTGGATCGAGTGGCATGGATTCAACGATGTAAGGCAGCCTTCACTTCCCTTTGGCACGCATGATTGCTAATAATGGTCCCGCAGTGGTCAAACTCAACATTCGACGGCGTGAAAGGTACTGCCGGCACTGGCCTGGCTTTAATCCCCGCAGCGGTGAAGTACCTCGACGGCGGCGCATTCGTCTACCGCAACGAGGAAGGCAAGATGTCAATCTTCCTCGCCAGCCAGGACGGTGACGTGCCCAGCACTTGGGCGTGGTCCTACGGAGCAGAGCTCGCGGCCGCGATCCCAAAAGAATCTGCCATCGGCGCATTCGTCTACGGACGCGAGGCAGACCTCATCAACACCTACACGCTGTACCAGGACAGGAGCGGGACGCTGCAGGTGATCTGGCAGAACGACACCAGCTCTGGCTGGCAGGGCCCGAAGACCTACGATGCGCTCGCGGGTGCTGATAATGGCACCGACATTACGTGTGTCACGCAGACAGCCTGGGATGAGCAGGGCGTCAACATCAGCTCCACGACGGACATGAACAGGTGCTACTTCCAGAGCGAGGGCAAGGTGAAGGAGGTGAGGTTCGACGGGCTCAATTGGCTAGATCTAGGATTCTTGCCTATTACCTAATAAGGCAGAGAGTCAAGCCACCGAGAGTACAGATAGGTCAGAGCGGTTCTGGGGTTTATGACTGCATCATGTAAGCTAGAGCTTGCCAGGCGTTAGGGAATACCTTTTACATCAGTATCAGTAGAGTGGAGCGGGGAGCCTGTTTTCTCTTTTGAGGTCATATCAGATGTTGTATATTATCACCATTTGGCTTCATCCCAACATCCTTTATCATACATAGGTTCCTAAAACCAACAATTGCCCAATCCTACAAGGCTTCTTGCCCACAGCCTGTGTATCATAAATTGCTCCGATCGCTTCCTAAAATGGTCTCCCAGTTCAAACCGGACAAAGAGATGCCTACCAGAAAACGCCGAGATCTTGATGTGAACTTGACCTATGCTGCACGTCATGCATCCGCGGAACACTCTCGTCCTCATTCACTCCTCCCCTCTGATCCGACCGCCTGTTGATGCTGGTGCCCGAGTTATTTCTCGACAAAATCGGGCTGGCTTCGCCGCTATGTGAGAAGTAGGCATCCTCAACCGTCGGGACAACCTGGAAGTTCATCCCCATTTCCTGACCAACATCGCCAACACTCCAGCCCGCGAACGATGGCGGGACACTTGTCGGTGCCTCTTGCGCACCAAGATATCCTGACATGGGCATAACACCATCGCTGGAGGTTGGATCTACTGCCACGCCGCTGAGGCTGGCTGGCGGCAGAGGTTCCGAGAATACATCGCCCAAGGCGCCGCTCATCTCATAGCCCGGCAGGCCGGCCTCGGCATCGTTCTCCTCTTTAACCTCTCCTACGACGCTGCCTATCGTGCCGGCAGTGCCCGAATTCCACGTACTGTCATCAATAGCTGGTGACGGCAGCGTCAGGACAGGAGACAGCGACATCCGCATCCCGCCCGGCCGCTCCTGCGCAAACATCAGCAGCCTGTCCGCGAACTGCGTCCGACTATTCGGGCTGGCGCTCAGCGTCCTGACGAAGAACTCAAGCGGGTCCACGGCGACGCCTTTCCGGCTCAGGCCCAAGATGCCCAGGTCGCCGCCCGCACCAACGAAATCCATCCCCATGATGCCGCCTCCGCTCGAGCCGAACCCCATCATAGACGGGTTGATCTCTGAAATGGGCGTCCCGGCCGCGCTGGCGGAGTCGCAGGCCCCGAGCACGTTGATGCACCACGTCCCGATCTCGAAGATCTTCTCGAAAATGCCCATGCCGTGGACCTCGACCGCGCTGCTGGGCAGGCTGGAGAGGACGCCCGCGGTCCGCCGGGCAATGGCGAGCGGGAAGGCGAAGTGCATGCTCTCGTGCGGCGCGGCCCAGGAGAGGAGGCCTTGGCGGAACGAGCTCTGCCAGACGATCAGGCGGAGCCATTGCTGCGTGATGAGCAGATCCGCTTTCTGGATCTCGGTGGGCGTGGGCTCGTCGTCGTCATCGGCGATAAGAGGTTCGTCGCTGGGCTCGACGCCCGCGCTCGTAGGGCGGGATGGAATACCGGTGGACATGCGATGTTTTGAGGGTGTGGAAGGGCGAGTTCGGGTTAAGAATGCAGGAGGCCGAGAGAGGACGTTTTGCAGGGTAAGATACGTCGTTGCGCTGACGCGTGGATCAGAGCCCTCGTTCCAAGCTGAGACAAAGGACTCGTCTAGTGGTGTGTACGATGAGATGAGTTGGAGGAACCCAGTGTGGATATCTGGGGATTCGTATGAATGGCGAGATGTAGGTAGTGAGGGGGTCTTCTTGAAGGTGATAGGTTTGTTTCGAAGAATGGCGAACGAGCTGATTTTGTGTCAGGTCATAGTTTCATCATAGTCAACTGAATCAAAACCACAGACTTACCGTTCAGTAACAAAAAGAATCCAGAACACTCGTTGCCGACATAAGGTCTCCTCCGGGCTGAGGCCAACGTATGACCTGTCGTTTTGAAGGTCAAGATCAAGGGCCAATGTCAAAGCTTCCCGCAAATACACCCAAGATTTGCGGTTCTGATTTATCTCGAAGAAAGATGTGGACAGCCAAAATGAAGAGATGACGGCAAATAGAGACAAGTCCTCCATGAAGTCATAGGAGTGTCGAACTGAGATGCATTCATCAAGAAAGTATCGACCAGCAGCCTCCCACGACGGCGGCGCACCTGGGGTCTGAAGACTCTTGCCCGACATGTGCAGACACGTCAAGGAACACAGGGCATAGACCAAGTTCTTCTCTGATGGTGTCATTGGTCGAGCTATCATCGAGCGAATGGCCGGCATGTACAGCAGCGGCATGATGGGATAGATGTGCTCGTAGTAGAGTTCCACACACTGCGGGATGAGATGGAGATAGCAGCGACTATTTGGCAGAAACGCATCACTCGTGAACATGCTCCTCGGCTCGGGAGCATTTCGAGGATCTGACAAGTTCTTGTTCCAGGATATGTCCTGGGGCGATGGCGTTGATGGAATTGAAGTTGTGGCAGATCTAGTCTCTGGTCTCACGCTTTCCATATCGATGCTGTTGCGGCATTTAGCAAGCTTCTTCACACTGGGCGTGAGCGCTTCATACTCTGCGCTGCTTTCCCTGCTGCTCTTCTCCTTTGTCTCTTTAGCTCTCAGTTCGTTGATCACGCGCCCATGGCCACGTTTGGGGCCACGCTTCCGCGGGACATGATCCCTCTTGCAGGTCAGAGAAGCATTGAGGCATTGACGACATGGGAACTGGCCGTCACAGCGAATTCCTGTGAGGGGTGGTTAGCTGGACTTCCTTCACTGTGGCATTTGTCATCGCTCGGAGACAAAGCTCATCGGGTTCAGCGCAGCCTTGACACCCCGCCCCGCAATGCGCTGAGTGAGACAACACGAGAGATCAGAGACACGGAAGGGGGACGGCATACTTCTCCGGCGACAGTGATCGCACACCGTCCGTCTCTGGGGCGGCTGGAGCCTTGCGCCCGATGCCGCAGCCTCGGGATCGCTGGCCTCGGCGCGGGTGGCGGCGGCATTGTGGACGTCTTGCGCGGCGTCGTCTTCTTCGGTCTTCATGGCGGGCACGGGACGGCCATCGACATGCGGGAGCGGGCAGGACGGATCATGAGAGATTGATCGTCTTGCGTCGAGAAAGGAGAGAGCGGTATATTCTCAGGCGGGCAAGGCAGTGGTATGTGAAGAGAAGAAGGCGGAAGGAGGAGAAAGGATGATATCACAGGCTTCGCCCCGATGCTGAGCTGGACTGTCACAGGCGGCGGGCGGCTGTTCTCCAATGCGGGGAAAGCTGGGGGGCCAACTCGGGCAACGTGAGTGGGCCGAGTCCAATGCAGTGCCAGTGCCCGAGACTGCCTCATGCAATGCCGCAGCCTTTAGTCTGCAGTTACTCTGTATCTGTCAGGTGATGGCCGGCATCTCCTTGCACCTTTGAAGCCAATTGGTGTCGTGATGTGGGAGATGAAAGCGCACTTACTGAATGGTTGAATCGGCTGATTGATAGAGACAGCTAGATAGATGGATTAGTTAGCATCTGGGCACAGGCGCCAACGCTTGATCTAAGGTAAGGTAAGGTGAGAAGTCTACCTTGCAACAAACCCACCGTAACATAACATAACGCCATCCAGAGAGGCCTGGCCCGGTCGACGCTACCCGTCCGATCCGCTCCGTACCAGTACTGCACATCAGCGGGACCCGGCTTGCTCATACGATCGCAATCCACCATTCCTTGCATTCCTCCCTAATAAACGCTCAAACTAATTGCGATAGCGTGGCCAGCCTCAAAAGGGTTGCTCTATTGAGGCTTAAGCGTGATTACCTAAGTTAGCCCATCGATTCATACTGTCATTGCATTCTCAGACGCGGATACCAGCTTTCACCTTGATGTAAGAGATTTGAAGCCGCTACGACATATTTCCTGAATATGTCTAGGTGATAAGTCTCATAGTGGGGAATCTATTCGAGCGTGAGCTTGTCGCGCGTGATGAACTCAGCTTGACAACTCCGGCATGTCTATTACAATGGATTGGCTCTATCGCCAGGCGATTCTAGGGCTTAGATGATTGACCGTTTTCCCTTGTTAGCCCAGACTCTTCAAAGCTTTCACAACAGGCGCTTCCACGTGACTGTCCCGGTCACAGGATGCGCCACCACCCATAGACAGAAGGCTACGGGAGCCTTGCCGAAGCTCACAACTTCAAGAGAAAAGCGCAACCGGAATCTGGGTGAGATGGATCCGATTAGTGTTGTAGGCGTAGTTGCCGCCGCTGTGCAATTGGTTGACTTTGGTGCTCGCCTGTTCAACCGGTCCATGTCAGTCTACAAGGGCGCATCAGGAGTTGAATCGCAGATCGTCGGATCTCAACCAAATCTCTCGCGACCTCAAGCAACTATCACAGGCAGTCAGCACAAAACTTACCTCTATAAGCCACCACAACAAAGCGTCAACGGCTTAAGAGGCAGCTTTGCTAGAGGAATGCCGTCGCTGTGAAGCTACTAGTAAAGAGGTCTCCCAGTCAATCTTCAAAATCCAGGGATGCGGCGTGGAAAGCGTAGATTTCGCCATACAAGATGGACTGGAGTCGACTAATTTATCCCAAGCTTGCGGTCATGGTAGGACGAAGGTTCAAAATTTCAGAACAGCTCTGCGTCTCACGTGTAGTCAGGAACAGATTTCTCATTTGAGAAGCAACTTATCCGATGCGAGGTCTAATCTAATGACACTTATGATCTCCCATATGTGGTTAGACACGTTTCTCTAGTACCCCAACTTGTAGTAATTACAGCGACAGCGCTGGGGATGGCAAAGGCGAGAACGATGACAAGGATAATCTCGCCGACATGTCTCTTCCGCTGCGCCTCAGCGACTTCCATCATGAGCTACCCTACGACATCGCTGTGCCTGTCCCAGCCTAGGCCATACTCGACCTAGTCGACCAAGTGACGGAAGCGCAGGATGTGGAGGATTACTGCGCTCGTGAGATCCAGCGGAAACGACCAAAGCTTGCTGGATAGCGACAGCGGCTTGGCTGATGGTGGGAACGGGAGCTCTGTCTCCCGACAAATTGACACCGAAGGGCTGTATAACATAGCGGTCTCGGCGTTGGCGTTTTGGCTGGCGTGGCTCTCTTTTTCTTCCATCCTCTTCGTCTTCACGTTTCCTGTGCCTTTTCTAAGATTTATCACCTAGACACAAAGGCGATTCAACGATGAATCTCACGTGTTCAATGATATTTCCAGGCTGAGGGCGTTGGTGGAACTGCGGATATTGTATATTGAACCACGTATTATATGAGATCGTTCCCAGGGGGAAGCTACTGCGATTGTTTATTCGATCAGATTTGGCTCAGATCACTCTGTCTAATACACCATGAGATACATAATGAAAGAATACCATTATGTCTTTTCACAATAATCAATTTCGCATAGTAAAATTTTCTCAATCAATAGTCCTCTTTCTACTGCGATTATCTATCATAAACCTCCAGATTCCCTGAAATTAGCAATTCAATGCCTTGCTTCCTCCACGTATCAGGCTCTACAGAACTGGTCACATTTGCCTCATAGAGGAAATTCCTTGATGGGCGTCCAATACAATGCGTAGTCCCTGTTTTGCTGGGAACACTGTACTTCGGCCAATTCGGCACTGGCTCCCCAAGTGTTGCAGCTGCCTCTTTCCGTCCCTTCCACTTGTTCGGATCTCCATGATTGGCGAACGCGATCCAGTCGCTACTCATGAGTCGCGCCAGGTCTTTATACTCCTCACCAAGTCCCTCGAAGGGAGGAACTCGAACAGGAGGATATCCAACACCGTCCAAATTTAGCATAGCGAAGGCGACCTCAACGAAGTGTGTCGCACCTTGAAGAGGAGTAGACCACGCGGGAATCGCGTTAAAACGGAAGCAATAGGCCGAAAGGCCATGAGCGGCCCATGTCTCGCAGCTCTTACGGCGATTAGCTATGAACATCTTATCACCATAGTAAGTTGCTACGCGCCTCCATTGTGTGCCCCACGGGTATGCAGGCGGCACGAATGACTGGTCAAGGTTCGGCAATTCGTTGTCTGGTGAAACAAGCGGATATGCCTCGAAAACTTTGTTCGCAAAATCTTCAGTCATTCCAGGAGCTGAGCTGAGGATCCTTTGAAAGGCTTGCTCTGTAGTGTTCACGAGCTGTGGCGCGAAGCTTGTACCTTCATCTGTATTTGTCCCAAGGATGATTGGCACCTTGACAAAATTGGACTCCGCGACTTGCTGCGACGCGTGACGCGCGAAGATGTCACCGTCAATGTAAGGATGCCAGATAGACGACAGAGCAGTGGTGTTGATAGCGGCATTCAAATTCTCGTATGGCACAGAGCGAAGGCAGTCCAGCGAATCGGTAGTGTCTCCACACCCAACTGCTTGCGTGAGCTGGTCGTACTTGGATTGTAACGAAGTGGTTTGTGGGCCGGAGTTGATTGGCGTGCCACTCTCCATAATTGCACCATGGAATATATCATCGTCTCGACCGTCATATGCAATGAGATGTAATCCGACCGATTCTGC